CATCGTTACCATCTTTTTAAATTCCATATATATGCGTTAATATACTGTATTGGTGTTTTTCTTTCTGACTTACTTCACTCTGTATAATAGGCTCCAGTTTCATCCACCTCATTAGAACTGATTCAAATGCATTCTTTTTAATAGCTGAGTAATATTCCATTGTGTGTATGTACCACAGCTTTCTTATCTATTTGTCTGCCGATGGACATCTAGATTGCTTTTATGTCCTAGCTATTGTAAACAGTGCTGTGATGAACATTGGAGTCCAGTTGTTTTTAAACATGGCTGCTCATTAGAAACGCATCTGGAACTTTGGAGAAAAAAGCAATACCTGGGCATTTGTATTCTTCAAAAAATTCCAAGATAATTCTGATATGCATCTGGATTTTAAAAAGTGATTACAGGTTTTTCTTTTAAATGGTAGCATTAGTGATATAGAATTCTATTATTTTCTGTTGACCAGTCATGATTAAACAGTATTAAGTGAATAATAGTTACATAATCACAATAGTAAAAGATGTTTATCAGTTTTCACAATAGTCAGATAAAAGATAATTATAATTGCAAGTCATATTGGAAACATGATTAACCTAACAATATAAAATAATTACATACAATTTGAGGGGTTAAGCAGCGTGATATGGTAAGTGGAAGTGCATGCATGGACACGTTTTCATCCACCCAGCCAGTTTATGTCTTTTGGTTGGTGCATTTAATCCATTTACATTTAAGGTAATTATTAATGTGTGCTCCTATTACCAATTTCTTAATTGTTTTGGGTTTATTTTCTGTAGGTCTTTTCTTTCTCTTGTGTTTCCTGCCTAGAGAAGTTCCTTTAGCATATGTTGTAAAGCTGGTTTGGTGGTGCTGAATTCTCTTAACTTTTGCTTGTCTGGAAAGCTTTTGATTTCTCCATCAAATCTGAGTGAGAGTCTTGCTGGGTAGAGTATTCTTGGTTGTAGGTTCTTGTCTTTCATCACTTTAATACATCATGCCATTCCCTTCTGGCTTGTAGAGTTTCTGTTGAGAAATCAGCTAATAGCCTTTTGAGAGTTCCCTTGTATGTTATTTGTCATTTTTCCCTTGTTGCTTTTAATATTTTATCTTTGTTTTAATTTTTGTCAGTTTTATTACTATGCGTCTCGATATATTCCTCCTTGGATTTATGCTGCCTGGGACTCTTCTCTGCGCTTCCTGGTCTTGGTTGACTTTTTCTTTTCCATTCAGGGACGTTTTCAACTATTCTCTCTTCATATATTTTCTCAGGTCCTTTCTTTCTCTCTGTTCTTTCTGCATGCTAAGTCGCTAGTTGTGTCCAACTCTTTGTGACCTTATGGACTATAGCCCGCCAGCCTCCTCTGTCCATGGGATTGGGTTGCCATGCCCTCCTCCAGGGGATCTTCCTGACCCAGGGACTGAATCCATGTCTCATATGTCTCTTGTATTGGCAGGCATGTTCTTTACCACAGTACCACTGGGGAAGCCTGGGACACCCATAACGTGGGACTTTTTTATTGGTTGATTGATTGATTTTTGGCTGTGCTGTGTGGGCTTTTCTCTGGTAGTGGCGACTGGGGGCTGCTCTCTAGCTGCTGTGTGCAAGCTTCTCATTGCAGTGGCTTCTCTTGTTGTGGAGCATAGGCACAGGCTTCAGTAGTCGCAGTTCCTGGGCTATAGAGCATAGGCTCAATAGTTGTGGCACATGATCTAGTTGCTCTGAGGCATGCAATATCTTCCTGACCCAGGGATTGAACCCATGTCCCCTGCATTGGTAGGCAGATTTTTTTTTACCACTGAGCCACCAGAGAAGCCCTACCCTGGGACTTTGAGGAGCTTGCAGATGAATAGTGGGAGAAAAACTGATAGATACCTAACTTTAATGCAAGACATGAGATAAGTACATAAGGGAATGCTAGCCAAGGACTTTGGGGATTTACAGGAAGCAGGCAGGCACATCTGATCGAGGGGATCAGCAAAAATACCAAGGAGGAAGGTGTATTTGCAATGAGTCTTGAAGGAGTGAGCCAAGTCAGCGTCTGGAAGGCATTGGCACATTTTTGGAATAGCAGTTTGGTATAGATGGAAACCAGTGTGAGGTGAGGGTAGGAGCATCAGCTGAGGCCATGAGAAGGAGACAGAGTCAAAACCAGGCTGTTCTATTGTTGGGGTAGATGCAGAAGGTATATATCTCTAGATTTTTTCCCCAAGAACATTCATTCATTGTGGGCATATGTGGGATTTCCATTTTGATTTTTCTTGAGCTGATCACTCAGTTCTTTTAGAGAGCTTTCCCTTTCTTTCCCTACTGAATGTATAACTTGTTCTAGAGGAAGAAAAGACTAGAAAGGAGGCTGGGGCCCCTGCGTGCTGGAGCATAAGAGTCCTGATTGTGGGAGTGAGCCAGGATCAGAGCAGTGCTTCAGGAGGGCTTGTTTGTAGGATTGAATTGGTAGGGGAGACAGGAAGGAGGCCCCTGCTGTTGTCAAAATGGGAAGAGAAAAGACTTGATCTAATCTGTGGATGATCATAATCTGTGGGACGGAGTGCTGAGGGACAAGGTGGAAATACAAGGTAACACTGAGGTTTCCAGCCTGGAAAGTTGAGAGAATGGTGATGCCATGGACAGAAAAATATAAGAAATGAGTATGAGCCTGATTTGAGATGGAGGACAGTGAGTTTGCTTTGGAACATGTTGACTTACCAGAGATAAACATTTGTGGGTCATTTGTGGAAGGAAACTTTGAAATCACGAGAGTAAATATCACTAAAAAGAGAGAAGAAAGGGACAGAAACCTGGAGAAGCTTCCTTCAGTGGACTGTGGAAGGGCTGGAGAGGCAGTCAGAGGAGTGCAAGTGAGCCAGGGAAGGCAGTGGTACAGGTGTTGGGGAGCCCAGACCACCATGGGGAGGAAGTCATTAGATATTGGGATGATGTCTGGAGCCTGGTGGGCTCTCCAGGAAGTCTTTTGAATTGAGTTGAGAGAGACATAATATGATAGACGTGGACTTTAGTGTCCCTAATGAAGGCAATCAGTGGAGAGCAGCCACATGCAGAGGCTATGGAGCAAGGAGATGGTGAGGAAAGGGAGCTAGATCAATAGACTGTTCTTGAACGTGACCTGATGCAGGAACTTGGAAGAGTAGCACTTTAATGGGAACATTTCTTTTTTTATTTTTATTTTCAAACTTTATTTTTATTGAATGAAAGAATCTTTAAATTCTATAGTGCTTTACAGTTTTCAAAACTTTCACACACATGATTTCATATAATCCCATAACAACCCCTTTCCCCCTACTCCTATATTGCTTCCCTCCCACCACCCCCACTGGTAACTACTTGTTTGTTCTTTATATCTGTGAGCCTGCTCCTTTTTTGTTTTATTCACTCGTTTGCTGTATTTTTTAGATTCCACATAGAAGTATTGTACAGTATTTGTCTTTCTCTAACTCATTTCACTTCGCATAACGCTCTCCAAGTTCATCCACGTTGCTGCAAATGGCAAAATGCCATTCTTGTTTATGGCTGAGTAGTATTCCATTGTATGTATATACACCACATCCTTTTTATCCATTCCTCATATGATGGACACTTGGGTTGCTTCCATACCTTGGTAATTGTAAATAATGCTGCTGTGAACATTGGGACACATGTTTCTTTTCAAATGAGTGTTTTGTGGGTTTTTTTAAATATATATACCCAGGAGTAGAATTGTTGGATCATATGGTGGCAGGAACATTTCTTTATTAGGTTAAGAGAGACTTGAGAAGCCCAGAGAAGGGATGGATGGAAAGGAGGGACTGAGGATAACAACCCAGCAGGATGGGAGGTGATACTCATTAACCTGCAAAGAGGGGGTGCTGGGGAAGGAAAGTGAGCCAGGCTGAGAAGGTGGGAGTTCACAGGACAGAACCCGTCTTTTCAGTACTACATGAAGTGAGGTCGCCTGCTCCGAGGGAGGAAGTGTGGGTAAGCTTGTGGATGTGAAGACAGTGACAAAAGCTCCTGTGGGGGAGGGTGTGCAGAGGCAGCCTGAGGGCAGGAGTCAAACAGCAGTAACTGAGCAGAAGCGGGGCAAGGTCACGGCGCCGTGCGTCAGGCGCAGCATCCTTACAGTTGCTGATTCTGCCCCAGGCTGGGCAGGAAGGCCAGGGAAATCAGACGGAGGTGAGGCAGGCCTGGAAGTCAGGAACAAAACAAAATAAAGTTCATGGATGGGACGGGAGAGTAGAAGGGAGGAACTAGAGAGGAATGCTATGGGATCACTTATTTTCTTGTATTCTTCTCTTTTTGTAAAATATGTAATATCTCTCCTTTATGCTCCCAGGCTCATACCCCTTATGACTTATAACTAGCCTCTCACTGCTATTCTAGATGGTGTATTCTACAGCACAGAAAAAATAAAATGGAAACTGATCCTAGAACATACTGGCTGCTAAAATTGATTCCAGGCATTGTGTTAAGCATTTTACATACATTATCTTATTTACTGCTTACAAAAATCTTCTGAGTTTAAAGAATAAGCTTCAGTATTCCTTGTTAAAGACAGTCACAGAGAGATTAGATAACTTGTTCAGGGTCACATGGCAAGTGAATGGTGAAATCAAGTTTTGGACCCAGGCAGGTTGACTTGAGCACTTAACCATTTTCCCAAATGACCTCCGTGCCAAGACTTGCTGTAGGTGTCCTGGTGTGACCATATCACGTTTTTTCTCAAATTGTCTTGTAGTGGCAACTACTATTTTTTGTTTTTATCCCTATAGTTTGCAAATCATTTTCACACACATAATTTCCTTTGATCTTCACAACCCTCCTGTGAGGTTTGCAGCCACGAACAGGATGGAGACCTTCAACTTGCCCATCTCTACAGATTCAGTCCTGGAGGTCTTTGAAGTTTTGTCATTACAGAGTTGTAACTTTTTCTTTTTCTTCACCCCTCTTAAACACACCAGCCTCTTTTTCTTAAAGGAGTTCTCTCTTCAGACCTTCTGCTTCTTTTCAGGCCACAGGACTCTGTACGTGGGGGTCCGGATGCCACTGGGCCGGCAGAGCCATCGGCACCACCGAACGCATGGTCAGAAGCACCGGAGACGAACACGGGGCAAGGGAGCCAGCCAGGGGGAGGAAGGCCCAGAGGCCCTGGCCCATGGTAACACCTCGGGAGGGCGGGCGGGTGGGTGTCCACAGCTGGGAGGCCCCGTGAGACTGAGGGGATGTGGAATGAACATCCAGCAGGCAGCCTTTCCTGCTTGCTTCAAAGAAGAAGAAATGCCTCTGAGAATCAAAAGTATCTGCCTGAAAACTTCACCGTTCAGGCCCCCCAAATCAATGCCATAGAAGGTGAAATCACTTGCTGGAGAATTAGCTATTCCTTTTGATCAAATTCATCAGATTTCTAGTTTCTTATGGGTTTTCTTCAAGTGGTCTTACTTAATTTTTTTCTTTTCATGAAACTGCTTCCGAAGCATGAAAGTGAAAGTGAAAGTTGCTCAGTTGTGTCCGACTCTTTGCAACCCCATGGACTCTACAGTCCATGGAATTCTCCAGGCCAGAATACTGGAGTGGGTAGCCTTTCCCTTCTGCAGGGGATCTTCCCAACCCAGAAATCGAACCCAGGTCTCCCGCATTGCAGGCAGATTCTTTACCAGCTGAGCCACAAGGGAAGCCCAAGAATACTGGAGTGGGTAGCCTATTCCTTCTCCAGGGGATCTTCCTGACCCAGGAATTGAACCAGGGTCTCCTGCATTCCAGGTGGATTCTTTACCAACTGAGCTGTCAGGGAAACTCCAAAGAATAGTTTTTTTTGTTTGTTTGTTTTTGAAATTCTGGGAATAAAGGAATCTTTTTGATCTGAATTCAGGATTGTCTTTATATGTTTCACAAGCTGGAAGCCCCCCAGGTGCACTGAGTGTGGCAGGATGCTATTTCTGTCCCAAGTGGAGGTTGGGAGCAGACCTTTCTCTGTGGCTGCCTTTCCAGACACACCATCTCAGCGTGTTCAGTTCATTCTTGGCACTGAGGAGGATGAAGAACATGTGCCTCATGACCTCTTCACGGAGCTGGATGAGATCTGTCTGAAAGAGGGAGAAGATGCCGAGTGGAAGGAGACAGCCAGGTGAGGTCCTGAAGAGCCTGGGTTAAGGTTTGCTGGGGCAGGCAAATGTGTACCTTTCCGTGAGTGACAGGTCTGCCTGCCTTTTATTTCTTCATGGTAGACGTGATGACTGACATGGGCACTGATATTCTAGGGTCTTGCGTGGGAAATCTTGATGTTGGCCTCTTTGTCATGTCTGTGGTAACACCTATTCCAGTTGACCTTGAGCTGGGGATTGGTGACAGAAATGTGGAACGGGGGATCCTATCTCCCTTGTTCCTGGGCTCTTAATATTGTATGTCTGACTTAGAAGATGCCTGAGGGGGCCACTTTGGCCTAAACCTAGCCCAGCAGACATAGCCTTTTCCTGTGGGTGAGCCATAGCATCATTTTTTTTTTAATTCTTTAAGTTAATTGGCTGTGCCAGGTCTTAGTTGCACCATGGGAGCTCTTATTTGCAGCACATAGGAACTAGTTCCCCAATCAGGGATCAAACACAGGCTGCCTGCATTAGAAGCGTGAAGTCTTAGCCTCTGGTCCACCAGGGAAATCCCAATCATTTGAGGTTTAATTCACTGGAGATTCTGGAATTTTTGAGACATCCTATGGGACAATCCAACTTCATAGAGACCTCTGGGATAATAGCCAGCCTGACGGTAGGCTTCCCTTGATTGGAGAGTGAGTACGATTGTCTAAGGCTCAAACCCAAGAATAACTCTCAGGTGAACCAAGCCCATGTCTAGGGTTCCTCTAGTAACTGACAAGTGAGCCTTCTGGGTGATACAAAGCCAGCATGCCTGAGCCTCCGGGAAGAGGATGAGGTGGATAATCAGCAAAGTATGGCTCAAGGTCTCATTGAAATAGCTCTTCCTGGATACCTGCTGTATCCGTAGATGTGTTCAACGAGTGAAGTGAAGTCGCTCAGTTGTGTCCGACTCTTCGCGACCCCGTGGACTATAGCCCACCAGGCTCCTCTGTCCATGGGATTCTCCAGGCAAGAATACTGGAGTGGGTTGCCATTTCCTTCTCCAGGGAATCTTCCCGACCCAGGGATCAAACCCAGGTCTCCCGCATTGTGGGCAGACGCTTTAACCTCTGAGCCACCAGGGAAGCAGAGGATTAAACAAACCAATTAACCTGATACCAAGCAAGAAGGCAATTAGCCTTAACATCCTGTCTTTTCAAACTTCTGAAGGTCACAAAGACCTTTTAAAAAAGAAAAATGTGATCATTTTATTAATGTGATTTGTCAGTATATCCAAATGATATAGATTAGCCTGTTTTTTTAGTTGCACAAGTAATGCATGCTCACTATACAAAATGAGAAAATAAGGATAAGCAAAAATAAAAATTAATACCCCAGAGATAATGAGTAATGTAACATTTGGTGTCTTATATATGTGTGTGTTGTATTTTAAGATTTTCCTTTAATAAAAATGGAACCAAGGTATACTCAATTATGCAGTGGTTTGTAACCTACTTATTTCACGTGCCAATGCATGCTGAACATATAGACTAGATTACAGGGTTCAGTGTGATTATTCATGTACCTTTCTTTGTGACCTACATTAGAAACCCTCTCCTGAAAATTCTTCATTTTCTGTCTTTGGCATCTCTTTGTCATGCTTTCAGGTGGCTGAAGTTTGAAGAAGATGTTGAGGATGGGGGAGAACGATGGAGCAAGCCTTATGTGGCAACCCTTTCACTTCACAGTCTCTTTGAGTTAAGAAGCTGTCTTATTAATGGAACAGTCCTTCTGGATATGCGTGCAAATAGCATAGAAGAAATCTCAGGTAAGGTTAGGGGAGCGAAAGCAGAGGATCATTTGTGGTGTGGTGTGGTGTGGAGGAAAGAAAGAAGAAAGTGGCTGTTTGTGCTTGGGCAAGTCACTTACCTTCCTGACCTCAGCACCTTCAGCTCTGGGATGGGTTTCAAACTAAGAAACTTCCCTGCCTATTGCACAGGCTTATTCTGGGATGCAAATGACGTGGCGTGTGGCTTTCCATTTGCCTATTTGTTTAGCAAACATTTGTTTTCTATCTGTGCTTGATTATGTACTAGGCACAGGATATGATACAGTTTCTGCCCTCAAGGAGCTCACCTCCTAGTGGGGAAAATGTGTGTGTGTGTGTGTGTTAGACGCTTAGCTGTGTCCAACTCTTTGCAACCCCATGGACTGTAGCCCACCAGGCTCCTCTGTACATGGAATTCTCCAGGCAAGAATACTGGAGTGGGTTGCCATTTCCTTCTCCAGGGGATCTTCCCAACCCAGGGATTGGACCCACGTCTCCTGCATCACAGGCAGATTCTTTACCATCTGAGTCATCAGGGAAGCCCCAGTGAGGAAAATAGCCATAGGGCAATTAAAATAAGTGCAACAGCCAAGCTCTGGTTTGGTAATAAGTGTGACTGGGAGCTCTGCAGAGAAAAGTGGGTTCAAGTGAAAGAAAGATTTTTCAATATGGCAACTAGGAAAAACATGTATGAAATTGTGCCAAAGGACCCCCCACTTCTTCAGCATGATGTGAAGGGGAGATGTCTGATGGAGTTTCCTAGAACAGGTGAGTGTAAGTTATTGTGTTTGGGGAATGGCATTTGAGAAACACCTGGGTGTGTGTAAGGCTTTTCCTCGGCTTGGCTCTGTTTGGTTGGACAGATTTTTAAGTTTCTTCTAAATTTTCTTCATTAGAAGTGTCCAAGTAATTCTGCCTGTCTGGGATCACATGGGGACCTGGAGAGAGGTCAGCACCAATGGGATCTTGTGTTAGCACCTTAGTTACATATGTGAAGACTCTCTTTACAAATGAGATCATGCTCATGGGTTCTGGGGAGTTAGTATATAGTACACAGCATCTTTTGAAGGGGAGCCATTCAACCCACAACAAAAGAAGAGAGGAGTTGTGTTCATCAGTGTCAGATGCTGCAGAGAGGTCCGATGAAGTAAGAGCTAGAAGCATCCACCAGATTTAGCAACTGGAAGGTTGTTGATGATTTTATCAAAAGCAGTTTCATTAAGGCAGCCACATTACAGCAGGTGAGAAATTTTTCTTTTGAGAAGAAAGAGAGAGCACGTGCATGTGTGAGAAAGGGAAGGCAACAGATAAAGGGACACCAGGGATGGATGTTCTTCTTCAGTTTTTTCTTTCCCAAGATGAAGTATCCTGAAGCATGTTTATATTGTGGGACAAGGAACCAATCAATCTAAAAGTTAAAGAGAGAGAAATTTGGATCTTTGGCTTGAGTATTTGAAATAGATTTTCTTTTATTTATTGCTTCTAACACTCGGATAGTCATGGATGGAGTTGGAGTTGAGAATAGGTTGGAGTTTGGGAGAGGTGGTGGCAGGGGGTGGATATGTAGGGTTTAAGTAAAACAGCTATGGTTCTTCACATTAGGGACCTGAGGTATTCATGTTAGTGATAAGGGTAGGTAAATGGTCTCACTTGTAGTGAATCAGCATTTTATATATCTCATTAATTTTTCACAACAATCTTCTAAGGATCATATTAGCTTCATGTTACAGATGAGGAAACTGAGGTACAGAGAGGTTATCACACAGAAAAGTGGTAGAAGTGGGTGGGAGAGATGTGGATGTTTAGCTCTAGAACACATGCTGTTAACTTCTGTGCCAGCTGCCTTTCAGTAGCAGGTGTTGGGATTTTTTCCCCCTCAGTTCTGCTGGACTTGGCAGGTCAAGATTGATGCTTGGTATTAATTGTCTGAAGGGCTTAATCAAGAACAAATTAATTATTTTTATGGATTCTACCTTCAAACAGTCATGTGGCCTTCTACAGTTATAGTTTCTCTTGACAATCACAGCAATGTTAAAATCTCAGAGGAAGAGAACCTAGAGGAATTTTGGCAAATGATAGAACAGAATGGCAATAATGTGGACATTTGAGTCAGACAGTCTGGGATTTGAATCCCATCTCTGCAACTCACTAGATGTGAGATCATGGGGATTTTGTAATTTTGGGGCCTCAATTTCCTGATCTGTAAAAATTGTTATAATGCCACTTTTCAGAGGTTTTATAAGGATCAGATTAGATCATTATGTAAAAAGTTCAGAGTGTAGTTCCTGGCACATGTCAAGTGCTCAGTAGTTTCCATTTATAAAAATAATGATTTGTTACATGAATAACGTGTAATGTGTCACAGCTGCTATCAGCAGTTAGCTCTTTCAGGCGCTGATACAGAGACTGTAACCTCAGTGACCCTGGTAGAACTGCTTCCCCCCACTCCGTATCCCTCACCTCACCTGACCGTTCCTTCTTTGGAATCATTGACCATCAGTTTGAGAGTTCATGTTAGCACCTGCCTTCCAGACCTGATCCTGGACCAGCAGGAGCTGTTCAGTGACCTGAATGACAGCATGAGGGTTAAAGTCCGGGAAGCCCTTCTCAAAAAGCATCATCATCAGAATGAAAAGAAGAGAAATAACCTCATCCCTATTGTTCGCTCCTTTGCTGAGGTTGGCAAGAAGCAGTCTGATCCACATTCAATGGATAAACATGGTAAGATTACTAGGAGTAACTGCTTTCTCTTTAGATTAATAAGACATTTAGGCACTAGTTGGAGATGCTGAGTTATTGGAGGGTAGGAACAGCATTTCTCTAATATGCTTTCATGCTCACTTAGACAGTCCTTTTTGAGGATTGGCAAGATGGGTGGCTGGGACTGGCGACCGTCGTCTCTTGTGGCACTGAGGATGCATGCCTCAGATACATTTCAGTGGACCTCAGGGGTAAGATTTGTGCCCCAGAATGGCCTCAGAACTGATGTGACTTGGGGAGTGTAGGGAAAGATCAAATTAGCCAAGATGGCCTGGTCAGGCTCTCTCAACCCTTGCCCTCTCACTTTGCCCCATGTTTTATAATAATGATTATGTATCAGCTGAGATCACTTATAGCACTGCAGATGCATGTTCCAAGATACTCGCTTGCCTGCAGCCTACTTTTGTCCTGTAAGTATATATAAGCTTCACTTGGCCTGCCAGAGAGAGAGAGAGAGGGTTGGCTGTGCTGTGGGGTGCTACGTTATGGCTGCATTATGGTGGTGAGGCTGTGTTAAGGCTGTGTCTGCTGGGCCAACCACGAGAGGAGAGAATATAGCATGTCCATTGCTATGGGGGCTGTGCCATTCAAGAGAGAATAAATGTGTTTGCAATTCCTACGACTCCTTGAGTTTTCTTCCAGCTTCCCTGCTCACACCTTGCCTACCCTGGGCTCAACGAAGAGTGTACACAGTGAGATACAGCAAGATAGTTGGTGTAGTCAGCAGGATCAGCGAGACAGGGAGATATACACACTGGGGATAATTTGGCTCCAGAGAAGGTCAACTGGAGCTTTTTAGAAGTAAACAAATGTCTTAGATTAGGGAGGCAAAAACGCAGTAGTGTAGACTCTTGAGTCAGATTTCCAGGCTTGAGATTCTGGCTTCACCTCTTGCAAAGGTCTTGGACAACCTCCTAAACCTCTGTGAGCCCACTTTGCAGAGGAAGGATAATGACAAGACCTACTCCATCAGTCTGTCGTGAGGCTTCAATAAGTTAATCCGTGTGAAGCCCTGAGCCAGGTGTCTGGTGGGTTGTAAACATCTGATGAACTTCAGCTGCTGACTGCTTTCCGTTTCTGTGGGCAGGCTGGGGCCTAATCCATACTGGTCTCCGTGTCCCCACATTTACCAAAACACAATGTATAGCGGATATGCCTGGGGATCCATGTATTTGAAGAGTTCTCCGTAGGAATTTATGGTGTGCACTCCTGGTTGAGGATTACTGCCTTTAACAAAGGAAGAAAAGAGCATCACAAGTGGTTCAGGAAGAGGGCTCGGGGCAGTAAGATCTCTGTGCCCCTTTTACTGCTAGCTGGTAGGTGAGGAGACAGGTATGTGTGGGTCCTCGCTTCCTAGTCACCTGAACCTCTTCTCTCTGTGGGCTTTGCGGAAGGGAGCCATGACCAACCAACAATGGATGGGGTGTGTCAAAGAGGGAAAAGGCAAGACTCAGAGAATTCTGTTTGATTTTCTCCAAATAGGTCAAACTGTGTCTCCTCAGTCCATTCCAACCACAAGTCTTGAAGTAAAGAATGGAGTGAATTGTGAACACAGTCCAGTGGATTTAAGCAAGGTGAGCAGAGATGTGGAAGTTGGCTCACAGGCCTAAGCATATCTCTTGTGGAGCCCAGAGTCCTGTTGCTGGAAGCTGGGTAAGCTTTGGCATTTCAATATCCTTTCTCCAGGACCAGAGTCCCTTCTGCAGAAAAGGAGGCCCATCTGCTCATGTCTTCTTCCTTCTCCATCCCAGAGAGGGCTGACTCATCAGTTTTTCCCCCAGATTCAACCCGCTGAAACCCACTAGGCACTGATAAACCACCCTGATGCACACCCCCTGCTGTTTCAGAATTATTTTCTAGTACCTGCTCTCTAGGAGCACCTTCTTACCTCCAAGGTTTTCTCCAAGGGTTTTGTGAAAACAATATTTTTGCTACTATCTCACAACTACTTTGTGGTTAAACTCTTCTTGGGGACCGTGACTTTGGTGTTTAAGGCCGCTCCCACAGGATTCGGGTTCCCCTGCAGCTCTTGGCTCAATCCTTGATCTCCCAGCTGCCAGCCTTTGCTTGCTCTGGTCTCTCCCTGAAACTGTCTTTCCAAACACAGAGATAGTATTATGTCACTTCTCAGCTCATGAGGCTCCCTGAAACCTCAGACAAAGCATTCAGGTATTTAAAAATGGAAACAATTTGACTTGGAGTTTCAAAAATATTTTCTTTGAGGATGCATGGCGTAACGGAATTCAAATCAGAACCCTAGATTTAAATTTTCTCTCTTCGAAGCTCTGTTGTTATGGGCAAGTCAACTTCATCTCTCTGGGTCTCGGTGGCTTCACTTTTTTAAATAAAGAACGAGGCTGATTGGCCAGTCTTATCTACCTTACAGAGGTATTGTAAGGATTAAGTGAAGCAGTGTGAGAAAACTGTGTTAAATCATAAAATGATGCATGAATGTAAGTTGTGAGGAGGGTGATTGATGTGTAGGTGATGGCTCCCACACTGTCGGGGTGCTTTTAAATTTTCAGGTGGACCTGCATTTTATGAAGAAAATTCCCACTGGGGCGGAGGCCTCGAATGTCCTGGTTGGAGAGGTGGACTCTCTGGACCGCCCCATCGTCGCCTTTGTGAGGCTGTCTCCGGCTGTCCTTCTCTCAGGCCTGACAGAAGTACCCATCCCAACAAGGTAAAGATGAGGACTACAAAGCACAGTGCCTTCCATCTAATGTACAGGTTTATATGAGCTCTAGTGGAATAAACCAGCTAATGCCAAAATGTAGGATTAATTAATTTGGACATTGCTGTTTAAAATTCAGCAGTGATCTCAGAAAACTGGAGTATATTTGACTAACTTCTGTGCAGAAGAATTGTAAGACTTAAGACTGTGACTGTGCAGTTTCTATGACCTGGGAAATTGAGACCCAAAGAGCATTCTGGAGATGTAGCAAGGACCACTTACTTGGTATAGGGAGCCTGTCTTAATCTCCCCGTTCTGCAGAACTTTATCCCAGGGAGACATCTCTGAGCAAAGGTATCGACGTCTCTTTCCATAGTTCTGGCAGGATTTGTATGGTTTGCAAATATGTCCACATTTGTTCCAAAGCCTATTCATGTGCTCTGAAGGTGGTGATTCAGGTGATTCAGAGCCCCATTAATTATTATATAATTATAATATATTAATTATATTCAGATGTCCGGGACACAGTTTAGACTCCTCTGCAGGGCTTGATCATTTCAATTGTCTTATCCTTCTCCTCTCCCCATCATTTTCTTATTAGAGCAATGAATGAGATTCAGATAACCTTGAATTTGCACTACAATGCCATGTTTTGAAAAAGCATCCTTTCTAGAGCAAGGAATTGTGTCTATGGAAACCCTGAGAATTATAACCACATTATTGAATGGAGTCATACAGATATCTTCCAGTGACTATAGTAGAGCTATTAAGTCAAGGCTACTCAGATTGCTCCATCATTAGTTTGTCTCCTTTTTTTTGATGTTACTGTGATAAATTCTGTTTGATAGAAAAGAGAAATGTTCTGTTCTTTAGAGAAGAAAGATGCAACTTCCTTATATTTGCGTACATAATTTCATCTTCTTTGTGTGTTGCCAGGTTTTTGTTTATCCTTTTGGGTCCAGTGGGGAAAGGTCAGCAGTATCATGAGATTGGCAGATCCATGGCCACCATCATGACAGATGAGGTATGCACACCACTTCTGCTTTTCATGTGTTCATCGCATAGATATTTATTGAGTGTTTACTCTGTGCCAGGCATTGTGCTAGTTGTTGGGGGTAAAATAATTATTGCTGGAAAGCAATGCAGGTCATGTTTTTGAGGACCAAGCCCTCTTGGATTTTTCTTCCTCTGTCATCTCTCCCTTTTGGAATAATCAAGGATGCAGAGAAATCTTTTTTCTGGGAAAACTATTGCCAAGTACGATACCAAGTAAGAAAGATATTAAGGCTGACTTAACTTTCTAGAGAAGATAGTTAATGAAGTGTATCCAAGCTATTTACATAAAGAAACCTCACTCCCATTTCACGTAAATGAGACCAGTGCATCAGGGAGATGCTCTTGGGCATTGTTATGTGAATGTACTAGGGTTACTAGACATTTCAGCTGCCCCTGCTACATCCCTGGTGAGGACTGTGCTGCTCAGGTAAGTTGCAAAGTAGGGCCTTGTAAAAGCATATGTCTTAGAGGCAAAGGGAGATGGGGATGTGTTTTATCAGCTGTCTTTGGTTGGAAGGCATATTTCATGGAGGACCTTTATTAGTAATTCCATCCAGATCATCCATCATGATCAGGAAAATTTCTCACGCATTTTGGCTTTTGTTTCGTTCCTTGAGGAGATAACAGAATTACAAAACTTTAGAGTAATGTCTTATCTCTTTCTATACTAATAGACATATATTTAGGTTTTTTTTGCCTTATCTTTAGATTCATTTTTAAAACTCTTTTATCCCTGTACTTCTTAAAGTACTAAACTTATCTACATTTCAGAGCCCTATGACAAAGATAAAAACCAAGAGGTTTTATCAGTCTTTTACCATATCCATTGGTTATTGTTTAAGTCAAGTGACTTTCAGCTTTCCTGAGGATTTTTTTCTTTTCTTAGATTTTCCATGATGTGGCTTATAAGGCAAAAGAGCGAGATGACCTCCTGGCAGGGATTGATGAGTTCCTAGACCAGGTGACGGTGCTTCCTCCAGGGGAGTGGGACCCCTCCATTCGAATTGAGCCCCCCAAAAATGTCCCTTCCCAGGTAATGTATGCACATGAGCCAGTGGTGGCTTAGTGTCACGTACTGAGGGTCCACCATGGACACAGCAAAGACCATGTTGGTGTATGCTAAATAAACTGAGATGTGGTTCTGTTGCAGGGTGCCTAGAATGTCAGAAGAGTAATAAAATATGAATATGCAGTAACATTGATTGGCCAGGATTACCCTGGGATGAATTTTAAGCTAACTTTTGAAGGATTGATGTGAAATGGCAGAGAGGAGAGGAGGGGGCATTTCTTGGGAGTCTATTAAGAATGAAGCCACTAAATGAAAAGAGCTTGGTGCATAGAGAGTGCAAATAGAGTTCCCCATACTTTTTTTTGAGAGGTTAAAGATGGAAGAAAACTTCTACTATACACTGGTCCCTGGGCCAGGTGCTTTACATATGCTAATTAAATCTCTCAGTAACATCTCCAAGTAGGTGTTGTTATTCTTTATTTAACAAATGAGGAATAAAAATACTATCTTCAAGGTTTTAAGGTAATGATTACACAGACAGATTTGCAACTTGAACTTAGGTCATATCTGATGCCAAAGCCTTCATGTTTCTATTTCTGGACAAGACAGAGGAGTCAGGTACCAGTGGAGAGGAAGAGAAATTATTTGTTGTCTTTTGTGTTTTTCAGGAAAGTCAATAAACTGTCCCAAATCAGTAAATGCATCTGAAGGCTATAAGAAACACTTGGGTATTTTGGGGGCTGCTTTTGGATTCTCTCATGCTACCCTGACCCCGCCATCTCCCACCCTCCCACCCCACCTACCCCCGCCATAGCAGGAAAGACAGAATAGGTGGTTGACTTTGCTAATTGTGTGGTCCTCTGTTAAAAGGAGAAAAGGAAAATGCCTGGAGTTCCAAATGGAAACATTTGCCACATAGAACAGGAGCCACATGGGGGCCACAGTGGGCCAGAGCTTCAGCGCACTGGGCGGTAAGTTCTGGAATATTTCACAGCTAATACTGCTTACTGGACAGAAGCTGTATAAAGAAATGAGTTATCTTTGCTTTCAGCCTTCTTCTCTGTAGTATCTTTATTGGCTGGGAATGACTTTTCAAATGGGACCACTGACAATAAGTATTACAATTCTATCAAATACTGTATCATTCATTCAAGTTTCTCAAACCACCTACCATGTTCTGTCTAACCTTCCCACACATTGTTCTCCCTGATTTGAACATTCCTCCCCATCTTCATTTCTAGGCTAACTGCTACTTGTCCTTTGATTCAGCTTAGGTGTCCCTTTGGAGAGTCTTCCAAGACACTCTTTAGAGGAGGCTAGGTTATTCCTGCCGTGTGGTGTCACAGCTTGGAGCCCTGTCCCCTGCCCAGCTACTACCCTCAGCCTAGTCCCCTGTTATAGCCCTGATCAGATTCTATTATTATCTCTTGATTTGATGTCTTTCCTGCCAGAATGTTTGCTCCCTAAGGGCAGGGACCCCACTGTATTCCTAACACCCAGTTCAGTGCCCTGCCTAGAGTGGCTACACAGTTATTATCTGATGAATGAATACTATTAGAATAATGACTGTTCTTTAGCACTAGTGGACATGGCATGGATAAATATTAAGTGGTTATTTTAAGTTAAGACATGGATAAATTTTAAATGGTTATTTTAAGTTAAGAAACCCCTTGGGGTAGGGAAATAAGTACTATTTTAGGTGTGTCTGAGAATAGGCAACTTACTCTTCTGGGCCCAAATTTTAAGGACAGATGTCCAGTGAGGAGGTTCTCTGTGGTAGATGAGGAAAGAGGGTCCCCAGGCGGGGATGCTTTATATTCCAGGTAGGAAGGTAGTAAAAGAGAATGAGATTTGGGGTTGGAGTGGAAGGTTGGGACTATGGTTCTGGCACTGTAGGTTGTGCTTGTGTCTAAGAGGGTCTGCTGGGCAGAGATTCTCAGCACAGGACTCAGATGAGTCTACTCTAGTGCTTTCACTATTTTTTTCTTCCTTCCTTGAAGTTGCTTTCCTTATTTCTTTATCTTTAATACTCTATCCAATAGAAACCCAACATTTGTTTGTTTTTTTTGGATTGCAGAGAGTGTTAATTTTTCCACTCTTGGATATTCAGGGACAGACAGGAGAGGAGACTGAGAAGCTGACAGAATAGCATTTAACTAGCAGTGTTGATTGGGATAATTCATCCTGGCTGGAGGAATATATTCAAGGGTGGAAGGATAACTGGGCTCTGGGAGGGATTACTGGAGGAAAGGACGAGCCCTTTGATGGAAGGGATCACTGAAAGAGGGATCAAGTTCCAGGAGTAAAGTTCATATTTTCTTTAAAGTTGGAGGAGGTCTGAGTTGTGGCAGAGGAGTCCTGGTATTGAGAAGCATTTCAAAGGATACATTTGTCTTTAGAATAGTTTCCAGGATTGAGACTATCTTAAAGGAGGTGGTGCTTTTTTAAGGGGAAGAGTCTTGGGTATGGATTTGATAGAATTTCAAAGCTATGATTTATCCTTTTGAATACAAAGGATGTTCACAACTCAGGACTGAGAGTTTGAAAGTAGTAGAAATGAGGCCAGCAACTTTCCTTCAAACACATGATCTTTGCAGAGATGAGAGCTCAGCTTTCTTTTGGTGTCAAAAAGAGAATAAACTAGGGTCCCGTGCTTTTTTAGAGGTGGGTCACTTACAATCAATTCCACATGGGGGTTTGGGAGCCCATTAGATTGGATCTATATCTAGACCAAATACAGGATCTGGGAAATGGTACCTGACGTCCTCAAAGAAAAACCCATATAGCCAGGACCATCACACACTTAATCACCAGCCCCCAGTACCTTTCCTCACAAGTTCAAATGGGGCTTGAGGACATTCTTCCGTAATGCCGAGTGAGGAACTGCTGGAATTGGCAAAGCTGAAAGGAAGGGTCATCTAGACTCAGATCCTCACTCTATTTGGTGTGCCTCTTCCTGAGCTCCGGAAGTTTCTCTGAGAGCCCTTAGGAAAAGACCTCAAGACGCATGGCTTTCCTCCTCTTGTAGCTTTTTCAGCTCGTATCGGGGATCACAGTTCATGCCAACTCAGGCTCCTTTCCCAGTCTCAAAGTATGTAGGGGTGAATATAAACCTTCCTCTACAGATGAACATCTTAGCGTTTTCTGGCCCTTCCTGGACTTCACAGACTAAAACTATATTAACCTGAACTCTGTATTCTTTGTACCTTTAGCTGTGTTTCTTTGAGGTGGTGCACAACCTGGGGACACCATCCTAGTGGATGGAGAGGTACTTAAGATGTGGTAGTATAGGCTCTAAGAAGATGGGAGAGGAGGCAAAGTTGAGAACAGTCTGAGCTGTGTGTGATCTGACCTCCCAAGCCAGGGCCGAAACAGTGTCTTGGGCCTCCCTGATGTTGATGGTAGATCGTGACACCGAGGCATTCCCATGCAGAGTGAAGAGCAAAGTCTGACTAGAGTTGCTAGGCCAGAAGCTTCACAGCACGGAGTACGCTCTGCTGAGGGGTTTTCCCAAGTAGCTTGGTATACCTCGTTGGAGAAGCCACTTTGGGGAAGGGTTGATGAAGATAAGTATTGGGAGTTACTGTCTCGATGATCCCAGCCCCTTGAAACAGATTTCTTCCCAGGCACAGCAGACAATTGGCTGGCTGGCCTGTCCCTCAAGCCCTCCTCAGAGGGCTTCCTAAGTTAGTGCTCTAGAGTCTAGTGGCCCTCCCCACAGGTAAGTCCTTTCTGGCTTCAAGCTTAAATTTGTGGTCCTGTGTGCCTCCTGCCACCCCAAACTTGAACATCAAGGATAGTATTGAAAGGGAAAGGAAGTCTCAAATGTGTGGAGGAAAGCATCCACGTCTGGTTATTGTCTGTGCCAGATACTCGATTAGGGTCTGTATGAGTGGGGAATGAGGCAGATTTCAAAACAGGGTTTGAAATTGTTTTGTTAATTTATGTTGTACCATCAATAGGAGCCTCAGATCTTTTCTCTCCCCTTTTAATCACTGCCAGGCAGACAGATGTCCTTCCTTTCTATGGCTTCTTGTAAACCCATCTCACGTAAATCTTTTGCCTGTCACTCATAGACTCTCCTCCTGAATAATGAGCCTCGCACGTCCAGGAGGACCAATCATGGCAGCTTCGTAGGGTGAGGCTCACTGCTGCAGAAGCTTATTCTCCCAGAGTAATAGCCTTCAGAGGAAGGTCACTGGTGTTTGGGAGGTAATGCTGTGTTGGCTAAGGATCTGGAAAATCCTGAATGCTTCCCCGGACTAATTGCTGCTGCCCATAAGGTCCTTGAGGGGCTGTCTCCTCAGAGGGGGAAAGCAAGAGCCAGTGACATTTTATTACAGACTGTAACCTGGGTCCCAAACCCTGAGGTGGAACTCCCATGCTCCTTCAACCCTATAGATAGCTCCTTACCTCAGCTGGGTCTGCCAGACAGGCTAGAACCGAAGCAGGTCACAAGGCTAACTTTGCCTCTCTCCTCTAAACCCAGGTCCAGACTGTGATGTTACTGCTGTAGGTTGAGGAAGAGTAAATCCCAACTGTGCCCTGCAAACCAGAAGAGCAAATCAGTCAGATAAAAGAGTGTGTGCCCTGTGTCCATCTGCATACCCATTTGACCTAGCTAGATGAGAGAGGGAGCTTTTATTTTGCTTTAAATTGGAGTATAATTGCCTTACACTGTTGCGTTAGTTTCTATTGTACAGCAACTATGAATCAGCTATATGTATACATATATTCCCTCCCTCTTGAGCCTCCCTCCCACCGCCCCCAGCCCCCACCATTTACCCTTCTAGGTCATCACAGAGCACCAAGCTAACCTTCTTGTGCTATATAGTAGCTTCCTACTAGCTGTCTGTTTTACACATGGTAGTATGTATGTGTCAAAGCTACTCTCTCAATTCATCCCACGAGAGAGCGAGCTTTTGAATGGAGAAAGAGAGTTGGCTAGGCCTTCTCCCCTGGCATACAGATCCCAGGCCTCATAGAACACTTCTAGGCTCCGGAGCACAGAGAAAGAAAGAGCTAGCTAAGCCTCCTCTCATGAGAGAGTAGATCTGTGTTTTTTAGTTTTTAGTATAGAACATTTCAAACATAAACAAGAAGAGAGGACACTGTAATGAACCCCCACGTGCCCATCAATAGTTACCAACATTTTGCCAACCTTGTTTCATATTCCTTCACTACTTAATTGCTTTATTTTTATATTTTCTAGATTATTTTAAGCCAAATCACCTGTAACTTGTCATTTCACCTGTAACTACTTGAGTAGGTATCTCTGTTCGATAAGGACATTTTTAAAAACAGCTATCATTCCATTATGAAATCTAATAAAATTAACAATAATTCTTTACATTGTCTCATGCTTAGTCCATATTCACCTCTCTATGATTGTCTTGGCAACATCCTTTTAGAGTTTGTTTGACACAGGACCCAGTGGAGGTTTGCATTTCATTATCATGTTCCCGTCCTATAACTTCTGTAACAGGCCACCTCCTCTTTTTTTTTTCCATGCCATTCATGTGTAGAACAAAGTAGGTAATTTGCCCTGTGGAATGCTGAATGACTCTTCAGTGACTCCACTCTTTGAAAATTGCCCCTGTCTGGACATACTTCTCCTTCTTGGTGTAGGACATCTCACTCTTGATCTTTCTCGTCCTTGGGAAGTGGAGAGGGATCTCGAAGTCCTGCCACCAAGTCCTGTTGATTCTGCCTCCTAATTGGCACCCAATTCTCTTTCCAACCCACGGCCTCCAGCCTTGCCCCATGTTCCATTCATGACACTCTCACCAGAGTGATCCTTTCAGAATGCCTGCTTACTTATGCTGCTTCCCTGTTTGAAGTCCTTCACTGCCTCACACACTGTTGGGATGAATTTTTGATTCCTTTTTATAAAGCCCTTTGTGGCTTAGCTTTTCCAACATCTCTAGCCTTGTCTATTGATATTTACCCCTCACATTGCTTTATCCAGTCATAACTCTTTCAGCACCTTGAATGTGCCAAGAGCTGTCACCTCTAGGCGTCATCACGCCAGCCCCTCTGCCTCACCTGGTACTCCTGGCCCATTCTGGAGTCCCAGCTGAAACGCCTTCCCTGTTCTTGTGGCCATGGCACCCTCACAACACTGCCCCCTGTGCCAGACTGTTCGTCCTAGAGAGAGAGAGCTGTGTTTGCCTTGCTACTGTTGCATCTCCAATACCTGGCACAGTGCTTGGCATGAAGTATCTGTTACTACTTGGCAACTGCATGAATGATTATGCTGATTTCTTGAGTAAGGTGGGTAGTTCAGAGTAAGAATATACATGTGATAGGGGCTTTTTATATAGAAAACATATAATAAAACTAACAGTTTTAATACCCTGATAATTTTGTTCATTGCTTCCTAACAGCTCAGAAGTTGAAGTTTGAAGCTAATACTTAATTTCATGTTAAATTTTGGGAACTTTTTATTGAATGGGTGTTATGCATAGCAAATTAATTATTTTTATGCTTGGGATAATCATTCAAATTCATACATTTGATTGCAAATAGAATCCATGTTGGAACATGGCCAGAATCCATGCTGGCCCCATAGAGATCTCTTGTGCTTGGGGTCAAATTGAAGCCAAATATTAACCTCCACACAGAGCGCATTTGAAGTGTTTTCGGATGTGCTCTGTTGGCTTGCTTTAGTGGGAGAGGGACTGCGTTAGACGCCTGTCTGCCGTGTTTCTGCAGGCTCTTTGGGGGCTTGCTGCTGGACATCAAGCGGAAGGCCCCCTGGTACTGGAGCGACTACCGGGATGCCCTCAGCTTACAGTGTTTGGCCTCCTTTCTGTTCCTGTACTGTGCCTGCATGTCACCTGTCATCACCTTTGGGGGACTGCTTGGAGAAGCCACCGAGGGGCGCATAGTAAGAACTTTTGCCACTTCTAATGGTCCCAAATGAGAGTAAAAGTATTATGAAGGTAGCCAAGGCTACTGGGAGGAGAACTTCCTGGGGGTGGACTGAAGAGACTGGTTTCTTCCTGCTGAATTACACAGTCTTCTGTCTTCATGCCAACGAGCAACACCACTCTCCCTTTAGACAGACCCTCTGCTGCCTGCATGTCAATTTAGGTAGCCGATTCTCCTGGTGTATTGCCCATTGCTCCAAAGATAGAAAATTATATATTGATGTCATCTGAAAATAAGATTTAAGCTGACTCTGTGTGACAACCCATAATGTGAATGGTATCATTGTGCTTTCTATGTATATTTATAAATAATGAATTGAGTCGTGTATTGTAGATTTGTTAAGGAATCATATGTAGATAGATTTGGGGACCTAAATTATTGAAGCAGTATCAATTTACGAGAAGATTAGACTGTGTACACATCACTCTTGCTGAGACAAAATACAAACAAGTGGCTTGTCAGGTGCATTGGAGAGCTAAGTTAGGAATGTATATGAGCCTGTGTCACTCATTTCAGATGGGCTGTGGACTCAGTGATGATTTTTTTGCCTCTTTAGAGTGCGATTGAATCCTTGTTTGGAGCCTCCATGACTGGGATTGCCTATTCCTTGTTTGCCGGCCAGGCTCTCACCATCCTGGGAAGTACTGGGCCGGTGCTCGTGTTTGAAAAGATTTTGTTCAAATTCTGCAAGTAAGATATTTGGTTTTCTGAAAACTCTATCTGGATGTGTTAGTTTGCTATTAGGTTTGAATGTTAGGGTCCTAGTAGAGTATAAGCAGGCAAAAGCATCCCCTGGCCTGTCACCCTGTCCCCAGGTAGGACCATACCTAAAATAGCAGATCTCCTGGCCCTAAGAGCTTTATTAATGTCCCTCAACTTTTGGCTTTTTTGACTTCTTATCTTTAAAAACACTTTCCATAGCTAATCCAAACTCCTAATGAAAGTTTCCTAATGAAAACTCAATTTCCATCTCCAGTCAATTTTTCTTTTTAAAAAATTTAATTTTTTAATTGTATGGATTTTTAAAAATTTTAAATTGGAGTGTAGTTGAATTACAATATTGTGTTAGTTTCAGTTGTAAGCAAGGTGATTCAGTTATACATATACCTATATTCATTCTTTTTCAGTTTCTTTTCTTATATAGGTTATCATGGAATATTGAGTAGAGTTCCCTGTGCTATATAGTAGGTCCTCGTTGGTTATCTGTTATATATATATATATATAGTAATCTGTGTATGTTCATCCCAAACTCCTGATTTATCTCTCCCTCTTCATGATTCCCCTTAGGTAGCCACAAGTTTGTTTTTGATATCTGTAAGTCTGTTCCAGTCAACTTTTAATTGGAGTTAAGTGAAGTGAAGTGAAGTCGCTCAGTCATGTCCAAGTCTTTGCGACCCCATGAACTGTAGCCTACCACACTCCTGGGATTTTTCATGGGATTTTCCAGGCAAGAGTACTGGAGTGGGTTGCCATTTCCTTCTCCAGGGGATCTTCCCGACCCAGGGATCGAACCTGGGTCACCCACATTGTAGGCAGATGCTTTACCATCTGAGCCACCAGGGAAGTCCCAATTTGAGTTGATAATACTCAAATAATAATACTCAATTAATAATACTCAAATAATACTCCCCCTTTATATTCTGATTGTTGAGGGGGAGTCAGCAATGCCCTCATTTTCCTACTTTTCCTATAAAATCTTTCTTTCATTGTGTATTAGAAGTAGGAACACATAGAACAAGGACCAGTTCTTTCTCCTTAGCTGCAGGAAGAGGATCTTAACCATGTTGGGCAGGAATGGCAGAAGTGGATAGTGGACAGTTTGCACCTTCTCCACTGTCCCTGTCCTTGCTGTGGGAAATATTAGCTGTAAAGCAAATCTTTGTGACAACTGTCCCAGGACAGCCTTCAGAAGTAAAGTGCAGTCAGAATTAGGGACAAAGTAGCTTGCAGTACTGGAACTGACAATAGCAGATGAATTAACCACATTTCTGACCCTTGCCTGTAATGCAGTGGGTAAGAACGTAAAGCCGTTCACTGACTTTTGATGAACTTTGGTCTTGTTTCAGAGACTATGCTCTTTCATACCTCTCCCTGCGAGCTTGTATTGGACTGTGGACTGCCTTCCTATGTATTGTCCTTGTGGCAACTGATGCCAGTTCCCTTGTCTGCTACATTACTCGCTTCACTGAAGAAGCGTTTGCCTCCCTGATTTGCATTATTTTCATCTATGAAGCAATAGAAAAGCTGATTCACCTGGCAGAGACCTACCCCATCCACATGCATAGCCAGCTGGACCACCTTAGCCTGTATTAGTGAGTATGCTTCTGCTTCTTTTATTTTTTAAAAAATAAAGTGAAGGGCCTGAGTATAATGGCCGAGGTAGCATGCCATGCAGTGCTGCTTGTAGCTTCTGTTAAGGAAGTGTGTTGGCCCTCTGGGAAACAGAGCTTAGACATGAATGTGGAGACCTGGGGGTCTGCCAGAGGAGAACAGTCAAAAGTGATGAGGGGGGATCTTCCCTGGTGGACCATTGGTAAAAACTCCACCTTCCAAAGCGCAGGGTGTGGGTTCAATCCCTGGCCAGGGAGCTAAGATCCCACATGCCTCACAGCCAAAATTCCAAAACATAAAAGAGAAGAATATTATAATAAATTCAACAAAGACTTTAAAAATTACCCACATAAAAAAATTTTTTTAAGATAATGATGGGGAAGATATCTTAAGAGTAACAATCAGAGAGGACTTGAGAAATGCTTTCCAGAGTATGTCTTTTGGGTCCAGGCACTGAAACAAAAATAGACTGCAAGTGTAACAAGGAGAATTCAAGTTAGTTGTTGGGATAACTTCTTTTTGCAAAAACTTGTGAGACTTTGGACCACATCACATTCTCTGTGAGTATATATAGGCTACTCTTAGGAATCATTAGGTAGAAAATATTAATAATTCCTTATAGATTCATAGGTCTCTTACTTTGTATCCAAAAGGTCTAGAAATCTACTTTGTTGTTCAGTTGCCAAGTTGTGTCCAACTCTTTGCAGCCCCATGGGCTGCAGTATGCCAGGCTCCCATGTCCTCCACTATCTCCCAGAATTTGCTCAAATTCATGTCCACTGAGGCAGTGATGCTACCTAACAATCTCATCCTCTGTTGCACCTTTTCCTCCTGCCTTCAGTCTTTCCGAACATCAGGGTCTTTTCCAATGAATCGGCCCTTCGCATCAGATGGCCAAAATATTGGAGCTTTAGTATCAGCATCAGTCCTTCTAATGAATATTCAGGACTGATTTCCTTTAGGATTGACTGGTTTCATCTCCTTACTGTCCAAGGGACACTTAAGAGTCTTCTCCAGCACCACAATTTGAAAGCATCAGTTCTTTAGCGCTCAGTCTTCTTTAAGGTCCAACTCTCACGTCTGTACATGACTACTGGAAAAACCATAACTTTGACTATACGGACCTTTGTCAGCAAAATGATGTCTTTGCTTTTTAATATACTGTCTGGGTTTGTCATAGCTTTCCTTCCAAGGAGCAAGCATCTTTTAATTTCATGGCTGCAGTCACCATCTGCAGAGATCTTGGAACCCAAGAAAATAAAGTCTGTCACTGCTTCCACTTTTTCCCTATTTGCCACGAAATTGTGGGACTGGATCTTTGTTTTTTGAATGTTGAGTTTTAAGCCAGCTTTTTCACTTTCATTAAGAGGCTCTTTAGTTCCTCTTCACTTTCTGCCATTAGAGTGGTATCATATGCGTATATGAGGTTGTTAATACTTCTCCTGGCAGTCTTGATTCCAGCTTGTGATTCATCCAGCCCAGCATTTCGTATGATGTACTCTGCATAGAAGTTAAATAAGCAGGGTGACAATATATAGCCTTGATGTACTCCTTTCCCAACTGGAACCAGTTAGTTGTTCCATGTAAGGTTCTAACTTGCTTCTTGATTCACAGGTTACTCAGGAGACAGGTAAGGTGGTCTGCTATTCCCATCTCTTTAAGAATTTTACACAGTTTGTGTGATCCACATAGTCAAGGGCTTTCACATAGTCAGTGAAGCAAGTAGATGCTTTTCTGGAATTCCTTTGCTTTCTTCATGATTCAGTAAATGTTGGTAGTTTGATCTCTGGTTCCTCTAGGCCTTTTCTAAACCTAGCTTGTACATCTGAAAGTTCTCAGTTCATGTACTGTTGAAGCCTAACTTGAAGGATTTTGAGTATAACTTTACTAACATGCAAAATGAGGGCAGTTGTCCAGTAGTTTGAACTGGACACTTTCTTTGGCACTGCCCCTCTTTGGGACTGGGATTAAAACTGACCTTTTCCAGTCCTGTGGCCACTGCTGCGTTTTCCAAATCTCCTGACATATTGAGTGCAGTACTTTAACAGCATCATCTTTTAGGATTTGAGATAACTCAACTGGAGTTTCATCACTCTACTAGCTTTCTTTGTAGTAATGCTTCCTAAGGCCCACTTGACTTCACACTCCAGGATATCTGGCTCTATGTGAGTGACCACACCATCATTGTTATCCTGGTCATTAAGACCTTTTTAAATATAGTTCTGTGTTTTCTTGCCACCTCTTCTTAATCTCTTCTTCTGTTAGGTCCTTACTTTTTCTGTCCGTTATCGTGCACATCCTTGCATGAAATATTCCCTTGATATCTCCAATTTTATTGAGGAGATCTCTAGTCTTTCCACTCTGTTATTTTCCTCTCTTTTTTTGCACTGTTCATTTAAGAAGGTTTCTTATCTCTCCTTGCTATTCTTTAGAACTCTGCATTCAGTTGGGTATATCTTTCCCTTTCTCCCTTGCTTTTTCCTTCTCTTCTTTCCTCAGCTATTTGTAAAGCCTCCTCATACAACCACTTTGCCTTCTTGCATCCCTCTTTGGGATGGTTTTGGTCACTGCCTCCTGTACAGTGTTACAAACCTCTGTCCATAGTTCTTCAGGCACTCTGTCTACTGGATCTAATCCCTTGAATCTGTTTATCACCTCCACTGTATGATCATAAGGGATTTGATTCAGATCATACCTGAATGGCCTATATTTTTCCCTACTTTATTCAATATAAGACTGAATTTTACAATAAGAAGTTAATGATCTGAGCCACATTCAGCTCCAGGTCTTGTTTTTACTGACTGTATAGAGCTTCTCCATCTTTCGCTGCAAAGAATATAATCATTCTGATTTCAATATTGACCATCTGGTGATGTCCATGTGTTGAGCCATCTCTTGTGTTGTTGGAAAGAGGGTGTTTGCTATGTCCAGTGTGTTCTCTTGACATAACTCTGTTAGCCTTCTCCCTGTTTCATTTTGTACTCCAAGGCCAAACTAGCCTGTAACTCCAGGTATCTCTTGACTTTCTCCTTTTGTATTCCAATCCCCTATGATGAAGAGGACACTCCAGTATTCTTGCCACGAGAACCCCATGAGCAGTATGAAAAGGCAAAAAGATATGACACTGGAAAATGAGCCCCCCCCCAGGTCAGAAGGTGTCCAATATGCTACTGGGGAAGAGTGGATGGCATTTACTACTAACTCCAGACAGAATGATGCAGCTGGGCCAAAGCAAAAACAACACTCAGTTGTGGATATGTCTGATGGTGAAAGTAAAGTCTGATGCTGTAAAGAACAATATTGCATAGGGACCTGGAATATTAAGTTCATGAATCAAGGCAAATTGGATGTGTGGTTAAGCAGGAGATGGCAAGAGTGAACATTGCTATCTTAGAATCAGTGAGCTAAAATGGACAGGAATGAGTGAATTAATTCAGATGACCATTATATCTACTACTGTGGGCAAGAATCCCTTAGAAGAAATGGAGTAGCCCTCATAGTCAATGAAAGAGTCTGAAATGCAGTACTTGGGTGCAAACTCAAAAATGACAGAATGGTCTTGGTTCATTTCCAGGGCAGGCCATTCAGCATCATAGTGATCCAAATCTGTGCCCCAAACAATAATGCTGAAGAGCTGAAGTTGAGTGGTTCTCTGAAGACCTACATGACTTTCTAGAACTAACATCAAAAAAAAACTACTTACTTACCTAGATTTCAACTTTTTTTTTTTTCCCCACTTATTCATTATAGTTTGGCTAAGTTGAAAAAAAGACAGTTTTACTGTGTCTTCATCCTTTTAGGAGGTCTGGTATTGTAAACATTTCTTCTCAGGGATGGTGTTCTCTGAATTATGACTAAAGAGAATTCTCCCTATCCTTTTGCTTTGTACATCAAGTTCCCTCCGTTCTGGTTGTACCGTTCTGATGTGGAAGATCTGGTTGTGAAGTGAACAATATCAATCTGAAACTGCCTAAGCAGAAGGCACACAGTGTGGAGATGCCTGCCAACCAGCCTCGCTACACTTTTCTAGATTCTAGTGATCCCTTTATCACACTTTAAAAATAACTCCTTAAACATGTATTAGAATTGAAAAATTATTTTATTACAAAATAATCACCATCACGGAATATAATCTTTGAAACCTAGTGCATTTCTGATTGGCATTGGAGGAAGGTTCATTCTTTGACCTTTTTTAATCAGTCATTTATTCATTTAACAAAAATTCGTTGAGCACCTACTATGTGCCCAGCACTGTTTAGACCCTGGAAACATAGCAGTGAACATGACAGACAAAAGTTCTACCCTCATGAGGTTTATGTCCAAGTGGGAGAAGACAGACAAAGTGACCAGCTCTGGATTGTGTAGACTTTGGATTTAGATACTGAAATTCTTTGTTAGTAAAGCTCAAGACAGTATTTTCTTTAAAAAGTAATTTTATTTATTTTTGGCTGTTCTGGGTCTTCATTGCTGCTCAGGCTTTCTCTAGTTGCGGAGGCCTGGGGTTACTCTCTAGATGTGGTGTACAGGCTTCTCATTGTGGTGACTTCTTTTGTCGTGGAGCACAGGCTCCAGTCTGAGTGGGCTTCAGTAGTTGCGGCACACAGGCTCAGCAGTTGTGGTTCCTGGGCTCTAGAGCACAAGCTCAGTAATTGTGGTGCAGAGGCTTAGTCGCTCTACGGCATGTGGGATCTTCCCGGGTGAGGGACTGAACCGGTGTCTCCTGCCTTGGCAGGCAGTTCTTTACCACTGAGTCACCAGGGAAGTGCCAAGATGGTGTTGTTGTTTTTTTTTTAGCATTTCAGTTGCATTCCACTGTTGATTCCTATTGCAGGCAGATTCTTTACATCTGAACCACCAGGGAAGCCCATTATAAAGCTAGAACTCCCCAATTCTTTACGTGATTTTATGGTAATAGGTGTGTAACTGATTTTTTAAATAGAGTTAACTTTTTGAGAGCAAATTTTAGGATAACAGCAGAATTGAGCACAAAGTACAGACAGTTCTCATATACCTCCTGGCCCCCACCATGCAGTCTCCCCCACTATCAACATCCATCACCAGAGTGACATGTTTGTTGCAGTCAATGACACATCATGATTACCCATAATCCAGAGTTTACATTAGGATTCACTCTTGGAATTGTATATTCTGTGGGTTTTGACACACATATAGTGACATGTCTGCCATTATAGCATCCTACTGAATAGTTTCTCTGCCCTAAAAATCCTCTGTGCTCTGCATGTTCATCCCTCCCCCTCACCCCAACCTCTGGCAACCACTGATCTTATTCCATAGTTTTGCCTTTCCTACTGTGTCATATAGTTGTAATCATACAGTACATAGGCTTTTCAGATTGGCTTCATTCACTTCGTAATATGCGCTTAAATGTCTTCTTTGTCTTCTCATGGCTTGGTAGCTCATTTCATTTTAGCACTGAATAGTCCATTGTCTAGATGTACGACCATACATACATTCACCTACTGAAGGACATTTTTTTGTTTCCAGATTTGGAACTGATTTTTTTAATACATAAATATAACACTTTTTGGCTTTCTCTGTTTTTGTTTTGTTGATTTCCTTCTATTGTTATTACCTATTGAGATCTTTTTGAATTTTAATCCTGTCATGCTACATCTTTAGAAGGCATGCTTAGCAGAATCAGAGGTGAAACCAAGTTCCTGGGAATGGCCACGTCAATTGAGTATATTGGAAGCCAGTACAGGCGTGAAGTATGCCGGGATTGGGAAGCAACATGGTGGCCAGTGGGACAGGTCTGATCTGCTCTGGTTTGGATGCAAGATGAGGCTTGGGCAAGCCAGGGAATGACCAGAAGAGTGGATATTACCAGGGAGAATGGTGTAGTTTCCATCATGATTCCAGGAGTCTCTGATTTTAGAGCAAGAATGTGATAGGGATTTAAGGTACAAAATATTTAGGCTTGGGGAGGCTATTGAGAGCTGAATGGGGTATCTGGTCCACCTTGCTATGTAGAATGGATTTTGTAGGAATCGCCCAAGAGATAGAAACTAAGCAAGGGAACTACCACGTCAGATGCCTAACTTGTCAGCACAATATCTGAAGACTCGCATGCTGATTTGAGCCCAGTTTTAGTAATGACTGACTGAAAAATCAGGGTATAGTTGGGTCTCAATGAAGAGGACCAACCTCAAGGATCTGAAGTGGGAAAAGGAGAAATAGCATGGGCTTTGGCAATGCCTTTGGCCCTATCATGGCTCAAAATATTTACTTGAATACTTGGCTACTTCTCTTAGGAATGTTTTTTCTTCCCCCCTCAGCTGTAGGTGTAGCCTCCCAGAGAATCCAAACAATCACACTTTACAGTACTGGAAGGACCACAACATCGTGACTACAGAAGTCCACTGGGCCAACCTGACTGTCAGTGTAAGTCTGAGCGCTGCCAGGCAGCTCAGCCTGGTGACCCCTGGGCTTAAGGGGGCCTTCTAGGTAGAAGTGGGGAGCCCTTCAGTAAACTCTGGTGTTGATAGAAATAAAGCTTTTGGGTTTTTTTAGAACACAATTCTTAACTGACTTTCCTTTCCCTTCAAAATTCTCTTGTACACAAAGGGAAAGGAAAATGACCTCGCCCCTCTTTCCCACACACGTCCTGCCCAGTGACCCTACACTGAGGTTGTGTGGGAATGAAATCAGGGAGGATCAGGGGGCAGATCCAGGTTTGTGGGGGGCTTGAAGAACATTCAAGTTTGGAAGTCCTCTGTAATAACAACAGTGCAATAGCTGGGGCCATCCCAGAACCTCATGTTTGCTCAGGATAGTTCTGATTTCATTTACAGAAGTGTCTTAGTTAGGACCATAAGCAGTCACCCAAAATGCAAACAAGAGCCCACAGCTGCACAGAGGGCAGGTGGAAGCCACAGGCAGCCTGCATGTCCAGCCAGGATGTCCCTGGGATGACAGTGACAGGAGACAGCAGCTGTTTCCTCCCTTGTGCCTGCCTTTCATCACCCAGAATGTCTATTCCTCCAGGAGTGCCAGGAGATGCATGGAGAATTTACAGGCTCTGCGTGCGGCCACCACGGACCCTATACTCCTGATGTGCTCTTTTGGTCCTGCATTCTCTTCTTCACTACCTTCATCCTTTCCAGCACCTTGAAGACTTTCAAGACGAGTCGCTATTTCCCAACCAGAGTAGGTAGCACACTCTTGAATTTCTTTTGTGTTAGACTTATAATATCACAGAACCCATTCTCAGCCTCCATGCTGCTTGTGAGTACATTGACAGGTGCAGAGCTCCAAAAGACCTGATTCTGGAGGCCATGGCCTTCTCTTCTTCCTGTGTCCAGCAGCCTCTTTCATAGATGTGTGGTGTAGGATGAGGGGTTAATACCTGAGAATTTTTTATTGAAAAGTGTCATGTGAGTTTAAGGTGGTCGTCGTGTTCAATTGCATCTCATTTCCAGAATGCTGGGGTATGTTGTCAATAGTAGCTGGAACTGGCACCCGAAGACAGTACATGGGGATGATTGCCTGGGATGTGTAGGGTACCCCAGAGTCACCTCTTGGGGATGACTGGTAATAGCTTGTGAAATCACTGGGCACATTGACCACAGCAGCCAAAACGCTCCTGACTTGGTTTGCATGATGGTTTGAAGCCTCAACTGCCTCTCCCTGACACAGATGGCATTGTTTGTATAATGACTGGTTTGGGCGGGGTGGAATCAGAGGCCAAGAATAGAGGGACTAAAGGTATCTTTGCTTTGAGGAGGAGCTAGGGTCAGGAGGAAATGGTGGTTTTTCTGTGTGTGAGGCTTTTATCAGATATGCACAGCAGGATGTGTGAGTGGGTGGGGGTCTCAGTTGATGAGACATTTTCTGTGTATACATTCAGGACAACAACACATTTTCAGATGTCAGTCAGTCTACACAGTAGTTAAGGGAAGCTGCATGGAGGGCAGGTGGAGGCCGCAGTTCTAAATAAGTTGTCTAAATAATTTCTAAATAAGTTGTTTTTTCCAGTTTGGACAAATAATGAACAGGTGGCAGTTGTATACTGACTACTTGCTACTTGCTCAAGCCTGGCTTAAGTGAAATAGGAGATGCAAAAGAAGCTTAAAATGTGGTCTCTGTAACAGATACACACACTGCTATATATTAAATAGGTAAACAAGGACCTGCTGATTAGCACAGGGAACTCTACTCAGTATCTTGTAATTAACATATAATGGAAAAGAACCTGAAGAATAATATATATATGAAATTGAATCACTTTGTTGTACGCCTGAAACACTGTAAATCACCTATACTTCAATTAAAACATAATAAACTGTAAAACGTGTGGATTATATCTCAGTAAAGTCACTATATGATGTAAAATGTGTGTCTGTGTCTCTTTGCTGCTCTGCAAGTAGGATCATCAGTACCATCTTTCTAGGGTCCATGTGTATGCATGAATATATGATATTTATCTTTCTCTTCTGACTTCACTCTGCAATAAGCTCTAGGTTCATCCACCTTTTTAGAACTGACTCAAATGTGTTCCTTTTTATAGCTGGCTAATATTACATTATGTATATGTACCACAACTTCCTTATATACTCATCTGTCAATGGACATCTAGGTTGCTTCCATGTCCTAGCTATTGTAAACAGTGCTGCAATGGACACTGGGGTACATGTGTCTTTTTCAATTATTGTTTCCTCAGGGTATATGCCTAGGATTGCTGGGTTATCAGCTCAGCTCTGTCGCTTAGTTGTGTCCGACTCCTCGCGACCCGATGGACTGCAGCATGACAGGCTTCCCTGTTCATCACCAACTCCCGATGGACACAAACTCATATCCATCAAGTTGGTGATGCCGTCCAACCATCTCATCCTCTGTCATTCCCTTCTCCTCCTGCGTTCAATCTTTCCCAGTATCAGAGTCTTTTCCATTGAATCAGTTCTTTGCATCAGGTGGCCAAAGTATTGGAGTTTCAGCTTCAGCATCAGTCCTTCCAGTGAATATTCAGGACTTATTTCCTTTAGGATGGACTGGTTGGATCTCCTTGCAGTCCAAGGGACTTTCAAGAGTCTTCTCCAACACCACAGTTCAAGAGCATCCATTCTTCGGTGCTCAGCTTTCTTTATAGTCCAATTCTCACATACATACATGACTACTGGAAAAACCATATCTTTGACTAGATGGACCTTTGTTGGCAAAGTAATTTCTCTGCTTTTTAATATGTTGTCTAGGTTGGTCATAGCTTTTTCTGCCAAGGAACAAGCGTCTTTTAATTTCATAGCTGCAGTCACCATCTACACTGATTTTGGAGCCCCCCAAAATAAATTTTCTCACTGTTTCCATTGTTGCCCCATATATTTGCAACCAGACGCCATGATCTTCATTTTTTGAATGTTGAATTTTAAGCCAGCTTTTTCACTTTCCTCTTTCACTTTCATCAGGCTCTTCAGTTCTTCACTTTCTGCCTTAAGGGTGGTGTCATCTGCATATCTGAGGTTACTGATACTTCTCCCGGCAGTCTTGATTCCAGCTTATGCTTCATTAAGCCTGGCATTTCGCATGATGTGCTCTGCATGGAAGTTAAATAAACAGGGTGACAATATACAGCCTTTCCCAATTTGGAACCAGTCTGTTGTTCCATGTCCAGTCCTAACTGTTGCTTCTTGACCTGCATACAGATTTCTCAGGAGGCAAGTCAGGTGGTCTGGTATTCCCATCTCTTGAAGAATTTTCTGCAGTTTGTTGTGAGCTACACAGTCAAAAGCTTTGGCATAATCAATAAAGCAGAAGTAGATATTTTTCTGGAACTCTTGCATTTTCAATGATCCAACGGATGTTGGCAATTTGATCTCTGGTTCCTCTGCCTTTTCTAAATCCAGCTTGAACATCTAGAAGTTCATGGTTCATGTGCTGTTGAAGCCTGGCTTGGAGAATTTTGAGCATTACATTGCTAGTGTGTGAGATGAGTGCAATTGTGCGGTAGTTTGAACAGTCTTTGACATTAGAATGAAAACTGACCTTTTTCAGTCCTGTGGCCGCTGCTGAGTTTTCCAAATTTGCTGGCATATTAAGTGCAACACTTTAATAGCATCATCTTTTGGGATTTGAAATAGTTCAGCTGGAATTTATCACCTCCACTAGCTTTGTTCGTAGTGATGCTTCCTAAGGCCCACTTGACTTCACATTCCAGGATGTCTGGCTCTAGGTGAGTGATTACACCATAGTGGTTATCTGGGTCATTAAGATCTTTTTTGTATAGTTCTGTGTGTTGTTGCCACCTCTTCTTAATATTGTCTGCTTCTGTTATGTCTATACCATTTCTGTCCTTTATTGTGCCCATCTTTGCATGAAATATTCCCTTGGTATCTCTAATTTTCTTGAAGAGATCTCTAGTCTTTCCCATTCTATCATTTTCCTCTTTTTTTGCATTGTTCACTTAGGAAGGCTTTCTTATCTCTCCTTGCTATTCTTTGGAACTCTGCATTCAAATGGGCATATCTTTCCTTTTCTCCTTTGCCTTTAGCTTCTCATATGGTAGTTTTATTCCTACTTGCAGGGCAGCAAAGGCAACACAGACATGAAGAACAGACTCTTGAAGATAGTGGTGAAGGAGAGGGTGGGATGATGTGAGAGAACATCCTTGAAACATATACATTGCCACATGTAAAATAGTCAGTGGAAGTTTGCTGTATGATGCAGGGAACCCAAAGTCGGTACTCTGTGACAAGCTAAAGGACTGGGATGGGAGGGAGCTGGGATCGGGGTTTGAGAGGGAGGGGACATATGTGTACCTATGGCTGATTTGTGTTGAAGTATGGCAGAAACCTTCCAATATTGTAGTTATCCTCTGATTTATGTGTCTGTGTGTGTATGTGTATATATATATACACAGGATGTACCAGGATGGAGGGTGGTGACCGTTAGACGACTGAGAGAGAGAGAGTCCCCGCCATCACTAGGAAGGGAAAACCCGTGAAACGACCAGGCCCATGGGAGACAGCAGTCATTAGATGGATGCCATCCTGGGATATAAGTGCCATGGGGGTTCAGAGGAGAGAAGGACCCTGGGCCCCAGGATGGGCTTCTTGTAGGGCAGCTACATGTTCAGAGAATTTATGTAGCATTCAGAGGAGAACTAAAAAAAAAACAGGGAAGGGGAGCTGGAAACCTCAGGTTTCAAATAAAAGCAAAGTCAGCTTAAGGTGTCAGCGATGTTACATGTGGCCAAGATATATCTGGCTCTGTCTTGTTGGAAGCTCAGATTAAGGTGGGCATACAGTGGGCACTAGACACTGAGGGGGACTGTGTTTTATTAAAACTACAAAACTATAAAGTTGGTTAGTCAGTCCTCTTAGGGGCAAAATGTTGGTGAGGGGCTTTGGAGAAAAAAAAGGTGTAGGAAAGGCGTATAGGAAGTACCAGGATGGAGGGTGGTGACCATCAGAGATGACTGAGTGGAAGTCGTGATACTTGAGTGGACGTAAAGCAGGGAGCTGCCCATGGGGTCACCTGGAGGAATAGCCGCTGAGGCAGAGGGATGAGCAAGTGCAAAGGCCCTGAGGTGGGAGAGAGTCTGGTGTGAGTAAGAAACAGCAAGGAGGGCTGTGTGGCTGGGACAGGCAGCGTGAGTTGGGGAGCATTAGGACCTGGATCAGAGCAGTAATGATATCAGATGTGTGTGGGCCTCACTGGCCAAGGAGGTCTCTGGGCTTTTTATTGCTCCATTGAAGTGAAGAGCCATTTCAGGGTTTTAGTAGAAGAGTGACCTGATCTGACTTGTGTTTTGAATGCTTATTCCAGCAGCTTTACATAAGGACAGAGGCAGGGTTAGGAGTCTGCTGCTGCTACAGAGACAAGAGCTGCCGGTGCCTCTGATCTGGTTGGGAGCTACGGGGTAGTGAGAAGGGGTCAGATTGTGGGCGTGAGCTGAAAGCAGAGCCAATAGGACTTGCAGATGGATTCGATGTTGGGGCTGAGAGCAAAGATGAGCTGGTGCTGCTGCGAGGTCTTGGTGCAGCTGGAACTTGTTGGTCCCAGGAAATCTTATCCTGAGTTCTCAGAGCTATTCCCTAAATGCTGGGCCCAGATTCTCTAAACAGAACTCCTCAGAGTTTGGAGTGGGTCCCAGTAGAGTTTGTTAGAGGATTCATTCTTCGTTATGATTCCCACACTTTGGTGGTATTAATTTGGGCATGTTAACATAGTCCTGTTGTTTAAATATGCTTATATTAATTGACCGATAAACTTAAAGCATTCTTCTGAGCATGTTTAAGCATTTTACAATACCTGAGTCTTTTCTATTGTGTTTAATCTACTGTAACACATCTCCAATCCTTTTTCATGCCAGGTCCGCTCCATGGTGAGTGACTTTGCTGTTTTCCTCACTATCTTCACAATGGTGATTATTGATTTTTTGATTGGAGTACCATCACCCAAGCTTCAGGTTCCCAGTGTGTTCAAGGTAAACAGATGTTAGGGTACTTGGTACCCTTATGTAGCTCATAGAATCTGATCCCGAGTTATTTCAGGGGCCTCTCCTTATACTAATCACATATTTTGCAGTCCTCTAAATCTGAGTTGTGCTGCTTATGCCATACCATTCAGAAAAGCAAACTCTTCAGGCTTGACCGAGTTCAAATCAGAGAAGTCAGAAAACCTAATGTTGTTTAATGAATGAAAAACGTTATTTATTTTCTTAATGCCATTTATTGTTTTTAATATGTGAAGATTTATAACAATGAAATGTGGGAACTTGCCTGGTGGCCCAGTGGCTAGGGCTCTATACTCCCAATGCAGGGAGCCGGGTTCGATCCCTGGTCAGGGAACTAGATCCCACATGGCTCAACCAAGAGTTTCCATGCCACAGCTGTTAATAAGATCCAGTGCAGCCAAATAAATAATTAAAAAATAAAACAATGGAATATTCGTATCTACATAAACATATACCAAAGACTGCGGGAATATGGGTCTCTGGAACAAGTTCTGGTTCACAGTACTTCACTGAATATCAGCTGTCTTAGGAAATCGGGAAGGGTGAAAAGGCTCTTTGTAAGCCTCAGTCCTGCTCCTCAAGTATCTTGCCCCATGAGGAGGTGAGGTGGTGGAGGAGCTTCACCCTCAGTCTAGGGCCCCACCCCAGAGTAATCGTGACCTCTCTTCAACCCTAATTCATTGTTTGTATATCTCTCTATAATCAATACTGTTGTTTATCCAAAAACCTATACAAAAAGTAAAACAGATGATCTAAACATGGGGACTCCAAATCTGTTTCAGTTTGGGGGCAACTACTGGGGGAACTGAGGAAATAGAACAGCTGAGCTCAGTTCCACAGATCCCCACAGGGTGGAGAGGAGAAGAAACCTGGGTGTCCTTGGGGACTGGAGAGGGGCCAGGAGAGGAGGGAACGGGGGAAGCCGGGCAGGAGGAGGAGGCCGGGAACGCAGGCCCGTGGTAACTTGTAAACACCCGGCACAGTCGGCCTTCGTCTTCCCTTTCTCTCTCCCTGAAGCAGCCCTGGTTAAAAATATCTTTTTCTGTATTGCTTGAAAAAATTTTATTTTGTTTTGTTAAATTCAGTTGAAATGCCACCCAGTTAGAAATTGATGGATTAAAAAACATCCTCTTTAAAAGTATATACCTCCTAGAATATATATCATTCTCACCCTGTGTAAATGAGTGCGATCAGCTTTTTCTCTAATAGGTGGCTGAGGTCGACACTGCAGGAGGAATGGATTTTGTGTAAAAATAAGTAATCTCGGAGCATTAAGCAGTTCTTGGAAAGGTTCCCTGATGGGTAGGCTTAAGATAGTTAGAAGGCACTGAATTTATGGGACATCTGGGAAGAAGGCCTCTCTCTTGAAGATGGGAGAGACGTCAGAGAAAATGGGAGAATGTCAAAGGCAGTGCTGCTCATTGGCAGGCCTCCCTTTCAGGAAGCAGAGAATACATTTTCTTCTTTCTTCTCTTCCCTATTACACCACATGACCCCCAGTGACCAAGACCCGGTCTGAAGACTCATACTATTATTGATGGGTTAATGCAGAGTACATCATGAGAAACACTGGGCTGGAAGAAGCACAAGCTGGAATCAAGATTGCCGGGAGAAATATCAATAACCTCAGATATGCAGATGATACCACCTTATGGCAGAAATGGAAGAAGAACTAAAGAGTCTCTTGATGAAAGTGAAAGAGGAGAGTGAAAAAGTTGGCTTAAAGCTCAACATTCAGAAAACTAAGATCATGGCATCTGGTCCCATCACTTCATGGAAAATAGATGGGGAAACAGTGGAAACAGCATCAGCCTTTATTTTTGGGGGCTCCAAAATCACTGTGGATGGTGATTGCAGCCATGAAATTAAAAGATGCTTACTCCTTGGAAGGAAAGTTATGACCAACCTAGATAGCATATTAAAAAGCAGAGACATTACTTTGCCAACAAAGGTCCATCTAGTCAAGGCTATGGTCATGTATGGATGTGAGAGTTGGACTGTGAAGAAAGCTGAGCACCGAAGAATTGATGCTCTTGAACTGTGGTGTTGGAGAAGACTCTTGAGAGTCCCTTGGACTGCATGGAGATCCAATGAGTCCATCCTAAAGGAGATCAATCCTGGGTGTTCATTGGAAAGACTGATGCTGAAGCTGAAACTCCAATACTTTGGCCACCTCATGCGAAGAACTGACTCATTGGAAAAGACCCTGATGCTGGGAGGGATTGGGGTCGGGAGGAGAAGGGGATGACAGAGGATGAGATGGCTGGATGGCATCACTGACTCGATGGACATGAGTTTGGGTAAACTCCGGGAGTTGGTGATGGACAGGGAGGCCTGGCATGCTGCAATTCATGGGGTCGCAAAGAGTTGGATACGACTGAACTGAACTGAATGTTGGTCAGGGATTAATAAGTTTTTGTGTTGACCTAACAATTTAACTACCATTTCAAACATTATTACTAAGGAAACACAGATTCTATAAACTTTCAGAACCTAACCTATTCATAATTTGGGACTTGGTGACATTATTGAAGAGTCTTTGAATCCTAGAATGATAACCAACGTGGAACCAAATACTTTGGATTAAAATCTTTGCTTTGTTCATGAGTTTGGGGCCAGTTTGTATCTCCAGCCTTTTATCTTCCATCCCTACTTGCCAATCAAAGTGAACTTTTCTTCCCCAGAGTACCCTGGCATTTTTTTTTGAGATCTAGGAGAGTTTAGTTAGTTTATAAGATTTATGAACAGTGGTCTTACAGGGTCCCAGATCATGCGAGTCCCCAGATTCAGTGTTTTGGTCTCCTCTCTCAGGTCTTTAGGGCCTGGACCTTGTTTCATTGCTGATGGGAGGTGGGTCTTGGACCAGGCCCCTGAGTTTCCATGTAACTGGCTCTATATTGCCTTTATTTGTGCTGTAAACATACATGATATGGCTTCTGGTGGGGAGAGTAGTGAGGAGGATAATCAAAGTTATTTATATTGTCTTTGGAAGTTATCAATTCTTCTTTAAACAACAGATTTTGCTATTAGTTAATATATTTTATCTGGGTCAATGCAGAGATAAAGTCACTTTTTCTGTACACAGGAGTTTGGAGAGCCAGGGAAGGAAGTGAAGGATTGGTGAATATTCCATAAGAAATTGACAATTGAGGACTGACTCTTTCAAAGGAGATTTGGAACAAAGTCATAGATTTTCTAAGGAGTTGCTGTATTTCACGCCTTTTTTTTTTTTTTTTGAGAATTTTCATTCAAGAATAAAAAGAAATGTGGTTATTGTGATTCAGTTTGATCTGTTTTGCCCTAATGACTACAGTTAACTTAAAATACAAAATTAAAACCTTGCTTTTTCCCTTTAGCCAACACGGGATGACCGAGGGTGGATTATTAGTCCCATTGGCCCCAATCCCTGGTGGACTGTGATTGCTGCGGTTATTCCAGCACTGCTCTGCACTATTTTAATATTCATGGACCAGCAGATCACAGCCGTCATCATTAACAGGAAGGAACACAAACTCAAGGTAAGAAAAATTTCTGACCTAGAATAATGGCATAATAATAATGGCAACCTATTACATCTTTAAAAAATTTTAGGAAAAGCCCATTTAGACCAGGAACTGTAGAACCTGGGTAAAAGCAGTCATGGAAGGAGCTCATACAGAGTTTCCAGGGGTTTCTGACTCCTTCATTAATGATAGAGATTGGTTTGGAGATGAAACTAGAGTAGAGCATGATTGTACAATGTGAAGGAAGCTTGGAATCCATTACTCTCCTCTCAGACCTATGGGGGAGGTTGGTGGGCAGAATTCTTGGTTGTCCCCATATGGTCACATGCTCTGGTCCAGGATTGTCTTCCTGAGGTTCAGGTTAGGGCTTGGACCACAGTTTCCTGGAGACAACTGTTCTCCCATTGGTGTCCATTACTGAGGTTTCCAGACTGAACCTTGAGCCCAAGAATCCTAGGAGGTAGGGTTGGTGCCAATACATTTATTAGTGAGAGGCTTCATGACTTGTCTCTATTCCTTCATTACCTAGAGTAGGCAACATCCATATTTGGCAAGGAATGGGGAGTGTTTATAGGAACCTATCTATCGCCAACTCCTGTAGGGTCAACCCTCTAGAATGGTCAAGATGTGTCTCTGGCTACTCTACTGAGAAAGGATGGATCTTTGAATATGTGATACTCAGGGTGAGATCTGGGGACACTTGGATAAAAATTAGATATTGGCATGTGTAGGACACGCTAAGGTTTCTCTTTCTTCTCTGTTCCCTCCAAACCAGGAGGGGCTGCAAGACTCTTCTGGAATCCCTGGACCCCTTCCTTATCCTTCCTGCTTTGGGCCTGAGACTCTTAGCTCACTGTCCTATGTCCCACTACAGCCAGCCCACTGATGGTGATGGAGACTCTGTTTCCCCACAGAAAGGATGTGGCTACCACCTGGACCTGCTGATGGTGGCCATCATGCTGGGTGTCTGTTCCATCATGGGCCTGCCCTGGTTTGTGGCTGCAACTGTCCTATCCATCACGCACGTGAATAGCCTCAAACTGGAATCTGAGTGCTCTGCCCCAGGAGAACAGCCCAAGTTCTTGGGCATCCGAGAACAGAGAGTGACAGGCCTTATGATCTTTGTGTTGATGGGCTGCTCAGTCTTCATGACAACTATATTAAAGGTAAAACTATTCATTTGTTCATTAGGTAAATATTAAGTGCCTGATTTGTGCTGGGAATGCAGTGGTATGACAAATAGATACACATACAAACACCTGGCCGGAGGAGTTTATTCTAAGTGGAGGATGACAGACAAGATGTAGTTAAGGAAGTTAGTTAAGAAAATAAACAGGGTAATTACAGAATGTAATATGTGATCAAAAGAAATATACAGTGTTGTATGGTTCTATAGAGAATTAAAGGGATGTGTTTTGTTAGTGTGGTCAGAGAAGGCCTTTCTAAGGAAATGGTGTTTAAGATGAGATGGAGCCAGCCCTGCCATGCATGGTAGGAGAGGACATGGGAGGAAGGCAGAAAAGCAGTCTAGACAAGTCCTGAGGTGAGAAATAATGATACATGTTCTAGGAGCTGCCAGGGCCGTGTGGCTCAGGGATGTTAAGGCAAAAGCACGTGAGATGAGATTGAAGAGGGAAAGGACAGATCATGTAGGGCTTGTTGACACTGGTAAAGGTAACCTTCAAAGGGCTTTAACAGTAGAGGGACATTATCCATTTAGTATTTTTTTAAAAGGTCTCTCTGGCTCATATCTAGAGAATAAGTATTTAAGGTTGAGGAAAAGTAGAGGTAGAGAGACTGGTGAGTCTGTTACAGGTGAGAGAGGATGGTGGTTGGATGGGGAAGTTGGTAGTAAGGAATGCATAAAAGGCATGACTTCTGTATATCTTGGAGGAGATCAGGTCTCGCTGGTTGACTGAATATGGAATGGGAATATGGAAAAATCAAAATGACTGCTAAGTTTTTGGCTTGACCATCTGGGTGGAGAGTGATGGCATTTAAAGTGGAAAAGACTGTATGAAGGAGGAAGTGATTTTGTAAGGGGTGGGCTGTGATCAGATTTGAGTGAGATGTCTGGTAGGCATCTGAGTGAAGAGGCTAGGGGAGGTTACTAGACTAAAAATATAAATGTGGGAGTCAGCAGCACATCAGTGGTAGTGAAAGCCAGGGGCATAGATGAGCTCACTCAGGGGGAAGGGTAGCTATAAAAGAGGAGGAGTGGAGAGAAGAGCAGAGTCCACAGAGGTCCGATGTTTAGAAAGTCGGTAGAGGAGGAGACAGCAACAGAGACTCAGAGGAGCTGCCAGAGGGGGAGGGGGAGAATCAGGAGCGTATGATGTCAGGGAGTTCAAGCGAGGGGAATGACTGGTTGGAAATTGTCTGGAAAAATGAAGACCAAACCAAGATCATTGGGTTTGGCAACATGGAGGCCTCATGAGACTTGCCAAGAGCAGATTCATTGGAACAATACTGTAGAAGCTGAGTGATGGGATCTGAAGAGTATATAGGTGGTGAGAAAGTAAAGAGAGTGTGGGCAGACAACTCTATAAAGTTTTTTCTATTAAAATAGAACAGCAAAATGGGCAGTGGCTGATATGAGACATGGGGTGAAAAGAGGATTTTTGGAAAGATGGAAGCTACCTTGAACATGAGGAAAAAAAAATTTTTGTGGTTGAAAGGCCTGCCTGTGGGAAAAACAGGATAAAAAAGAAAGTTCAAGCCCCAGCCATTGTGGAGCACTTACTTATCTCCCTTGCCTCCTCCCACTTTTTTAGTGACTTGTCAACCACTTCGGCCTACAATGCAGATGCTGTTTAAGGGTGCAAACTGGCAGAGGTGGGACAGGATTCTGAACCCTCCTCCTGCCCCCTTACCTTCCACTTAATCTTGCCACCTATCCTCATGCCCCTTCCCCATTCTACTCTCTGCCCCTGGCCTACCTCCACCCCCACCTCTGATCTGGGTGCCATCTGGAGGAGCCCAAAGGTGTCTGCTCCTTTGGGAACATAACCATGAAGTCATGGTGGTGGGCATTGTCTGGCCTTCCTAGTACAGTCTCAGGAGGATTCTTTTGGGAAATCATTCAGTAGTTCTAACAAGGTTAGCACCAAATTGAGATGTCTACTCACTCTAGAGCCAGAACAACGTAAAATCCAATGGGGATTTTCTAGTTCAAAGAAGAATTATGTTTAGAAATGTTCTTTAGCCCCAGAATAAAAGCAAGTTGAGTGTAGTCTTTGCAGTGATAGTTTCTTTGCCTTAATTCCATGGGCCTCATTACCTCGTAAAGTTGCTCTGAAAATTACCTAGATGGGTATAATGTGGGAAGCCTGCATGTGTATTCAAGTGCAATAGAATCATGTTGCCATCTCTCCCCATTCTTTATTTGACAAAATACCCCCCTACCCCTGCCCTCAAGTCTCTGATTAATAAAAAGCAAATGCTTTTAGCCTATATTAAAATATACCAAATCCCTGAGGAGATGCTTAGGTGATTACAAAAGATTTAAAAGATTTCAGTTCTATAAAAGAGATGGGTGAGTGTGTGTGTGTGCATATGTATGTGTGTGCCTGCCCATTTCCCTGGAGGAGGAAGAACCAGATGGGGAGAAGATGTGAGGCCTATGATTTAACCAGGACCAGATTACACTTACATGTAATCATTTCATTTCAGAACAAAATGATTTGTATCATTGTCAGCTTCTGTTTTCGCTTCTGCTTCTTAATCATGTAAAGACAGCAGAAGCGAATGCAGCATTTCTGCAGTGATTTTGTGAGTTTGCTTCTTTCTTGGAGGTTTGGCAGTTTATATAATCTTGAGTGTGCTGTGATACCACATTGAATTTCTGGTCTCTGCCCTTTCATCTTCAGTTTATCCCGATGCCGGTCCTGTATGGAGTCTTCCTCTACATGGGAGTATCTTCCCTGCAGGGAATTCAGGTACTGTGGGGTTCAGTCAGGCAGCATCTTCCCTCTGTGAGCTCCCCTTCCTGACCAGGGAGAGCAGCTTCCCTAGGGAACCACAAACCAGTTCTTGAGGGACTATTTCCTAGTCTTGCTGCTTAAGCTCTTTTAGACATTCCCTTGGACACTGGGCAAAATACAGTCATGTTGGCATGAGGGCACAGAGACTTCCAGGATGGCCCGACTCAGCGCCATGGTTCCAGGCCTTCGTCAGTTTTATTCAACAGACAGTTACCAGACATGTATTAAACACTAGGTATTTTGTCCGGCGCTAGTAAACTTAGATCTGAAAGGTTGGTCAGAAGCCAAACAGGCTTCTACACATGCATATGTGCATGTCAAGTTGCTTCAATTGTGTCCTACTCTTTGTGACCCTGTGGACCATAGCCCTCCAGGCTCCTCTGTCCGTGGGATTTTGCAGACAAGAATACTGGAGTGAGTTAGCATGGATGACACTAGTTTTGGTGCCAGGCTGAAGTGTGTGGGGGTGTAACTGGGGGTACATTGGTGAAGAGATTGGGAAGTCATGGGAACTGCCCCAGGTAAGCAGGTATTACTTCCTGTCACATGTTGTCTTTCCCCATCTATCAACTCATTCCTCTGAGTCCTTTGAATTGAGAAAATCAGGAGCTAACTTGTGTTAGCTCATTTTATCATAGATAAAATGATAATTTAGCTGCTTCTTCTATTGGTGGCTGGTTCCTCTTTGTTATTTTGGAATGTCCAGTAGTCACTTTTATACACTGAGTTCTTTGGGCAGGTTATTTAATCTCTCTGAGTCTCTGTTTTCCTTTTTATAATATAAGGATATTTTCTATATCCAGAATGTTGTGAGGTTTCATTTTATCTTTTTTCTTTAAATAATTTGTGAAAAGCTCCAAACTCCTCCAAGAACAAATAGATTTGGACTTTTAAGCAGAAGAATGCCATTGGCCTATTTTGTTTTCAGTACTCCCTAAGAAAGAACTCTTTCAGGAGCTACAGTGTGGATAGAAGAAAGATAGTTGAACTGAAAATGAGAAGAGATTTAAATGTCCCTTACCAACCTCGGCCAAATGACCTGTTCTCTTTGAGACAGTTTCTACTTCTGTCAGGTGGAAATGGTATTAGCTACCTTTCAGAGCCTATGATATAACAGACATGAATGGGCCCAACAAGCCCGAGGGAAACCACCGAAAGATAAGTGCTGGTTCCCTTTTTTCAGTTCTTTGATCGTCTGAAGCTCTTTGGGATGCCTGCGAAGCACCAGCCGGACTTCATTTACCTCCGGCATGTGCCGCTGCGCAAGGTGCACCTCTTCACCCTCATCCAGCTGACCTGCCTCGTCCTGCTCTGGGTCATCAAGGCATCTCCAGCTGCCATCGTCTTTCCTATGATGGTGAGTTTTAAAAGGTATTGTTCTTTATTTTAAAAAATAGTGATAAAATAGGCATAATAGAAAACTTACCATCTTCACTATATTTAACTGTACAGTTCAGTGGCATTAAGTACATTCACCTTTTTGTGCAGCCATCACCACCATCGTTCTTCAGAACCTTCTTCATCTTGCAAAACTTGAAACTCTGTACCTGTGAACCAATAACTCCCCTCAGTCCCTGGCAACCACCATTCTAATTTCTGTCTTTATGAGTTTGACTCCTCTCAGGACCTCATGTGAGTGGAATCACAGTATTTGTCCTTTTGTGACTGGCTTGCTTCACTTAGAATAATGTCTTCAAGGTCCATCCATGTTGTGTCAGGGTGGGTTTTTTGGAGAACATCCATCCTAATGGGTGTGAGTTAATATCTCGTTGTGGTTTTGATTTGATTCTAATGTCCTCAGTGATAAGTTATGTTGAGCATCTTTTCATGTGTTTATTGGCCATTGGTATATCTTCTTTAGAGAAGTGTCCAAGTCCTCTGCCCATTTTGAGATAAGGTGATTTGTTTTTCTGTTGTTGAGTTTTAGGAGTTCTTTCTGTATTCTGGATATTAGTCCCTTATTGATGGTGAGTTCCTGTTTTTTTGGTTGGTCTTCATAGACCAAGCATTATTTAGGGGACGTTGAGGTGTGGATGCATGTGTGTAGTAGTTTGCCATGTTTTTTCCAAGACCATCCATCTGCCTTTCTGCCTGTCTGTATTTCTTTCTATTTATTAATATTTCTCTTTCTTTCATGAATCTGATATGGAGAGTGTCAGGAAGCATTTAACAAGAGGCTTCCTGTGTGCTGTTTTGGATCTGTCAGGAACCCTCTGGCCCTTATTAATTCCTGAATATTCAGGAATTAAGAGGAGAGGCACACCTCTCCTGGGGCTAAGGAATCCAGGCATTTCTCATTACGGTGATGAGTACCCTCTTCCTTTTTATGAGCCATACGGTAAAAGGTGATTGTTTGCAACTCTCTCTTTGATAGGGATCCCGTTACAGTATATATGCCCGCGCCATGTTGATTAAAACACCTTTGCTACATCAGAGCTTGGGTCCCCGTGTCTTTCTTTCTATTCTTTCTTTCTCTCTCTCTCGCTCTCTATTTCTGGTTAATTCCTTGGAGCGCGGAGGCCCGCTGAGCTCACTTTCTTGCCCGGGCTTCTAAGGCCCTCTCGAGAAGGCACACTGTGGCTTCACCCACTTGAGAGGGCGCCCGGTGCCCACGTGCAGCAGCGCCAGCCCTAAGAACAGGACTCTATTGGCTTTCCGCGTAAACCAGGGGACACAGCCTCTTTCTCTCTCTTACTTTCTTACCGTTGACTCCAGACCACCAGGTTCCGGTCCATTAAAGGACCAACAGGAGAGAGGACTCTTCATGTTTATGATAATTTGCATATTATCTGAAAGCAATATGGTTCCAGTTTAGAATTCATTGCAATCAGAAGTGTCTATAGTGGTGGAAATGCACTGTTTCAAGTCACTGGGAGAGAGGAAGAGGTGTCTAGCATTGATGAGTGGCTGGGACACCCTTACCTCCTTTCCAAAGGGAAACAAGGGCTTTGGGAAGGAGACCAGGAAAGCTGGACTATGTGGTGCAACCGGTGACAACCTGTTTCCTAAAACCAGGGTGATGATGAAATACATGCCACCTGACCACCACACTGTTTCATCTTGTCCTCTTGATGCCTTCCTCTCTCTGGCTCACTCTATGTCACGAGAATGCTGAGCACTCAGTGTTTGAAAGTTACCCAAAGGATGGGCCTCCGGAGGGAAAAGGCCATGAGGGTAGTATCGAGTATTCATTTACAGACTTTTGAAGTCTGTCTTCCTGGGAGAATATTCAAGGATGAGGAAACTTTGGGGTTCTTTTCCCCCAATCTCCTAGATATATATCTTCCTGATGGGATTCTCAGTTTTGTCAGAATACATATAGGGTTCTGCACTGGGGTGCTATGTTCAGAGCTTGAGTGTTTGGTTAAAGAAATAGCAAATTCCCAGTGACTCCTGAAAGGGATACTTTCAATTTTGGATTTATTGTGAAAATAGTTGTTGAAATTAAGAAGAAATGAATGCAGTTAGCCAGATTTGCCCCATTTCTGGTCCAGTCGCCGGATTTAGCTGGTGAACACCAGTCATTGCAGGGCATTGTGGCTTATTACTGGTTCTTCTTTGGCTGAAATGGCCCTAATGGGGAGAAAGTAGAGAAGTAGTTGAGAACTCTGGTCATTTCTAGTGAGTCGATTAGCTGTCATATTTTAGGCAAGTTACCTTCTCTCCCTGGGCCTCAGTTTCCTCATTTACAGAATGAGTGTCAAACCGCGTCAGAGGCCAGAGACAGAAACCACTCGAGATCCATGTGGCAGACATAAAGCAAGGCTTTGCAAGTAAATGTACAGGCAGAGGACCAGAGGAAATCCAGATGGCTCTTCAAGGCTCCCTAACCCTGTGGTGGCCCATGCTTGGGTTGGGTATAATTAGCCCCACCAAAACCATCTCCTAGAGAGGCTTGCCACCCCTATCCTGCCCTCTAGCCCTTCCAACTGGCCTCGAGCCAGGAGAAGACAGCTCTTAGGGCAATCTGACGATGAGGGTTTCTCTTTTTTTTTTTTGGGGGGGGGGTTTCTCTTTTCAATGAAGAAATTAAATTAGTTCAAGTAGAGAATTAATAAGTTGTAGAGTGATGATAGTTAAATAAAATATTGTATATAAAACACTTAGTATCTGGTACAGAGAGCCTCAATAAAAGGCAACTATGATGATTATTATGAGTTTGATTCTGCCTGACATGTCCTAGTCTGCTGTGAATATAAGACTTGGTTTTTCACTCCAGAAGGGAACAAGCCTTTTTAATTCATTTTCTCTGTATTTCTTCAGGTTTTGGCCTTGGTCTTTGTCAGGAAAGTCATGGATCTCTGTTTCTCTAAGCGGGAGTTGAGCTGGTTGGATGATCTCATGCCTGAGAGCAAAAAGAAGAAGTTGGATGATGCCAAGAAGAAGGCCAAGGAGGAAGAGGTCATAGTTCTTGCACCAACTGCACACTTTGCGGCAGCCTCAAATTACAGAACATAGGAAGGGCCACATGAAAAGTCAGCATGTCTGGAATCCCAAGGGTTATATTTAGGATCGGGGAAGATTACTCTGAAGATATTCTCAGCTGATATCTGTCCTTCATCTTTAAATTTGATAACCAGTTGTTTTTTCCTCTGTTTGTCTACAGCCTACTTACCAGGTTTACACTTAGAATATGAATGTGAATCTGCTTTTATTATCAGATTGAATAGTTTATGTTTTCCCAAAGGTCTAATTTGATAGTTATTCAAAATCTATTATTTTCTGACAGTATTTGTTACATACTTAATTGCAGATGGTGTTGTGGTTCACAGAGATAACTTGTATAGGACTTTCTGTCCTTTCTCATTTTCCTGAGCACTTGGCATCTGCCATCCACACAATGGACCTTCAGTCAGTGGCTTATAATATATGCAAAGAATGGATGTGTAGCAAAATGAAAATACCAGTCCAAGAATGAGCCTGAAAGAGTTTCCACATCCAGTTAGTGCCTGCCTGAAATGAGCACTTTGAAATTCATTTTAGAGGAATTTTTCCCCAAAATCTTGAATTTTGAAAATCTAATTTTTTTAAGATATAATTGACACATAATATGGTGTAAGTTTAAGGTGTACAGTGCAATGATCCTGTATAAGGATAAGCCAAAAATTCAATCCCTGGGTCAGGAAGATCCCCTGGAGAAGGAAGTGGTAACCCACTCCAATATTCTTGCATGGGAAACCCATGGACAGAGGAGCCTAGTGGGCTACAGACTATGGGGTCGCAAAAGAGTCAGACACGACTTAGTGACTGAACAACAACAACAAGCCTAAAGTAAGTCAAACCAAAAGTAGGATAGTCCAAAAGTCCACAGGCTAACACATAGGGTATGTTATTGTGGGGGATTTCACACTGGTTGTAGAGGAAAGGAAGACTAGAGTGAGTAATGTCCTCCACATCACCAACATTTCTATAGGGCTTGCCAGTGTGGGAATTAGGAGTAATCTCAAAGATAAAATCTCCAGACTGGAGTCTGGTGGCATCACAGAGGGCTAAGGGGTAGGGCTGTGATAGGTGAAGGTAGTCAATGAGATGAGTAAGTTCTGGGGTTATAATATCCACCCAGCCTTGTGACTATAGTTAACAATATTGTTGTTCAGTCGCTAAATCATTTGCAATGCCTTTGACTGTAGCCTGTAGGGCTCCTCTTTCCAGTAAATTGGTAGTTGTATCTAAAGGTTTACTCAGATTCAGGTTTTTTTTTTTTAAAGTACTGTTCAGTAGGTGCAGATATTGGATTGTCACTCATTTTATGGTGAGTCAAAACTATGAAAGAACATAGCTACATTCTCTTATAATAAATGTGAGAGAAAATTAGGTGGAAATTATAGGGATTGAAAAATGGGCTGGTGTAGACTACCTTGATCCAAGGTAAAATAATGTTTCTTTTTCTTGCAGGAGGCTGAGAAAATGTTAGAAATTGGGGGAGACAAGTTCCCCTTAGAGAGCAGGAAGTTACTAAGTAGTCCTGGAAAGAACAACAGTTTCAGGTAAAGCTCCCAGAACATGGAGGAGTTGACTTCTTTCGGTGGTTCTGTAAACATTCTGGCTCTGTGGTGGGGGTTGGGGCATGAATGCAGCTGCTGGCATAAAAAGCTAAACATTCAACCTCTCAGTTGCAACCTATGAAAACACCCTTCCTTTCATGGTTTCCTGAGGGCCTGCCATGCGTCAGCCACTGTGCCAGTTATGGGAGTCATGGGAGGACCCTGCTTCCAAAGTTCATGCTCTCCTCAAACCAGTGCTCTTTCTGCCTATCTCTGCTGCCTTCCAAAGGTGAATAGGATACAGGCTATGCTTTTCATTCTAGTGGACATGAAATTCCCATGCTTATGCAAGTCTTTTGGGGATGGGCAGCCAAGCCCCTTCCAGCTTGACTCATGGCTACTGCAGTCCTAGAACCCAAGGGGAAACTGAACTGGGATTCCTCCAATTCCTTACTTCTGCCAGTGATCTTAGCCTTTTGGTCTGTTCAACCTATTCGTGGTCTGCTCACCACAAATCACAGGATGCTAAATCGGTCCATTTGTGTTTTCATTCCTGGCATTTTGTTTCCACTTTGAGAGAGGAATACACAAGCTGAAAGAAGCCCAGAGGTGGAGAGGGAACAGAAAAGGGAGAGAGAGGGGATCTGGGCCATCTAGATGCTGGATAATTTACTGCTGACTTATTGAATTGATTGTGGTTTATACTGAGGGAGAGAAGAGGAAAAGCTCTTCTTTGGCCTTTTATTCATTTATTTATGACAACTGAAAGTAATATATATTTAAGGTATGCAACATTATATATAATATATAAATATATATATAGTAAAAGAATTACTTTAATCAAATTGACAGCATATTCATCACTTCCTATACTTACCATTCCTTTTTTGTGGGTGGAGAGAACAGCTGAGATCTACTTTCTTAGCAAATTTCAAGTATACAATACATTCTTATTACTAACTATAGTCACCATGCTCTATATTAAGTCTTCAGAACTAACTCATCTTTTAATGGGAAGTTTGTACCCATTGATCAATATCTCCCCTTGTCCCCCACCCCTCAGCCTCTGGTAACCACCATTCTAACTCTGTTACTATGAGTATTTAACTTAAAAAAAAAACACTGACCACAAAGAAATGGAATCTTTGGTCCTTAATAAACTTTCTGTAGGTTGCCATGCAAGGAGCCAGAGACTTTGCATTCTCTGTGGTGAAGTGGGAGCCCTGTTCCTTTTCTAGCAGGTGTTGCCTCCTCTCGGCCTTTTAGAAGGAAACAGTCTGGCATGTGGAAAACTTCAGAGTATTGGGGGCATGGGAGTTTCTAGGAGACCAAGGACAGGATTCAAGGTCTTGATTTTCCACTTATGCATGTTTGACCTTGGATGGTCTCTTAACCCTACAAGCTTTGGTTTCTACACATTCAGAGTGAGGATGTTAATCATCTCTGTTGCTATAATTGTTAAGATACCACATTGTAAAAGACCTTTGTAAACTACAAATGGAAAAGATCTGGCCGTGTAAATGAGAAAAGGAGCAAAGAGTGCTTAGCCCCATGCCTGGCACACAGCGAGCGCTCAGTCAGTTGTAGCTCCTGATGCTGCCACTATGGGCATCACAGTGCTGTCACCAGCATCGCCAGAGGGGCCCTTCAGAGGAGAGCAGAACTGTGCAGGCAGGGCTGGCCACTTGCCAGCACCCCAGCCCAGCCCTCAGCTCTGACTCATGGGCCCCCTTGCCTTTCGAATTCCAACCATCTGGTTCCTAGTGCTGCAAGAGCTATGAGACGAGCCCCCTCAGACTTTATCTTTTCCCTTCTGGTGGGTGGCGGGCATCACAGACTGGGGTACATGTCTTATTTGTATGTCTGACACTGACTGTCCTAAGCATTGATTTCAGATGTGACCCCTCTGAGATTAATATATCTGATGAAATGCCTAAAACCACTGTCTGGAAAGCTCTCAGTATGAATTCCGGAAACACAAAGGAAAAGAGGTAAAGAGAACTATAATTGCTGATTTTTATTTATTTATGGCTTTTAAAAATAGAAATCATGTTGAAAGTAAACTGTATTTTAGGTGTAAAATTGAATTTATCTGTTAAATAGCACATCTAGGACTGCCGCTAACCTCACAGAATTGTTATAAGCCTAAGAGAAGCAAAAATGTTTTCCAGCTATTTGAGCAGATACATTGTTTTGAGCTGCCCATTTACACAAGCCCAAAGTCAGGATGGAATTATTTTGGAATGTAAATTTGCTTTATCTGTTTCATTCCCTTTATCCTCTTTCTAATTCCCATTTCAAAATCGGTAGAGCATCTCTCTAGTGATTGCAGCCATACAAACTGGAAAATCCTTACAATATTTGGATAGTGTTGATAATATTGATACAGACTTTAACCTATTTAACTTGTTCCATAATGAGAATTATTGTCTCATAAAGATTTTGAAATAGTAAATTATAACTGTTTTCTTATTTTGAAAACCAAATTCTGAATATTGTTTGTCAGTAGCATAGATCAATCTTAATCTGGTTCATGAAGAAAAGGGAAAGACGAGGCATTTTTGCCTACATTGAAGTAGGCTGTGTACTCAAATTACATAAATAATTTGGTCCAAACACTAAGTCATCAGATAATTGAAGGTGAAATCTTAGGTCTTACTAAAGGCAATTTTTCTAGCTTAAAAATAAAGAAAAAATTCAGTAGGCTAGGTTAGGAGACTTGGCCTAGCTATTAATTTCATGTGTAACTGGGCAGACCACTATTTCTGGCACTTGGTTTATTCAGCCATGAAATGGGGGTAATAACTGTCTCATTCATAAGGCTGCTCTGGAAAGTCACAGCCACCAGTGGGTGGTAGTGGTGGGTTATTTCTTCATCGAATGGGTTAAAATAAATCTGTGCTGAATGTGAGTGAAATATAGAATCTTGTTTCCTTCAGAGGAAAATCCAGGCAGCTGTCGAAAGTATAACGCACATGATTATTTTTAGTTGAGAACTAGTCTACTTGTAAATGAACTTAAAATATAGCCAGATCCAAATTGTGGTGACATCTTCAAAGTATTGTGTTAAAAGCAGGAATGAATCATGTGTTCCCTTTTTGTCTAATTGTAACACTTTTGTTCAGTCTCTTCAACTAAAAGTCTTTGCTGGGCTGGAGGCTGTGGGCCGTGAGGTGCCACAGGGAAGCTCGGGTTACAGAGAAGATGGCGAGGGTCTCAGAGAAGAAGTGAGCCCCAGCCTGGCCCCGTCCTTGGTCCTGGCCAAGCCATGCGAGGTTGAGTTATTGGTGGTGTGCGTCAGAGGGCATCGCCAGGCGTGAGCATGGAAACAGACGACCACCTCCTGCTGGTACTTCTCCTTCCTTCTCTTTCTCTTCAGAACTGCCGCCATTGAAGACCCAGCTTCCCACTTGCCAGACATTTCCTCTTCAGGTGGCTGGCCTGCTGAGCCATCTAAATCCATTCTGCCACTGAGGATTTTCCTCAGTGAGGTTCCTCTTGCTCAAGGATGGGGTGGGGGAGTGGGAGGAGAGCAGAGAGCAAAGGGAAGCCTCTCCGGTTGCATAGTGACTGCAGGCTGCTGGGCAGCCCTGGGCCTTGGTTTGGTTGCCTCCTCTGGGGGATGCTGGTCAGACCCAGAGGCTGTCAGAAGGTCTGCTCCTAGGAGGGTCCGCACCCTGAGCATTGGCAGTGCCAACCACAACAGCCAGAAGATGCCTCTGACCCAGTGCATCTTCCTCGCTCCCTAGCAGCAGCCTGCATAACAGCAAGAACCTTGGATGATGAAAGGGCCAAGAGGGACACACGCACTGGACTTGCTTAGCTCAGATGGGAAAAGGCTCAGGGGAAAATGATGAGTGAGGATGAGCAGCTTCACTTAGTTTCATTGATAGAGTAAGAGAATGAGCTTTAGTGGCTACAGAAGGAATTAGTTTAGACATCAGGAAGGACTTCCTTGCCCGAAGATTTGTCATACTGTCTGCTTCCTAGATATCTGGTGAAAGTTTGATTATAGTTATTTGTGAGTAGAAAAGGAGATAAGGGGTTTTCTATTGGGCATGTTGAGGAAACATCTGTGTCTTGCTGCTGTCTCTTGAGGACATATTTTGATTCCATTCCTGGAGAGATCCAAGTGCTTACATAATGTCTCCTTAGATGCCTTAGTCGCAAACCATCGTCAACTCAATGGACCAAACCACTTTCATCATCCTGGATTTTTTTTGTTGACACATGTTTTGACTTTCAGATGTAAAAATCCACAATGGGGAAATGAACTGTAAGTGGTGAAATTAATTCTTGATTCAGTTTAAAACTATATTTCTACTTCTTGTCGCCTCTTCTCTGTTGCAGTGAGGGTTTGGGCTCCATTGTGTATAGACTTTCCCTTCCTTTGTGCACAGAATGTGACTAACAAGCATGTTGGTACCCAGGGGATCTGATAAGTTTCCATCCTGGAAAATATTTGTACAGAGGGACGGCCCCTCAGGGTGCTCTCTTTCACAGGTGAAGAGTTGGCTACATAATCTTATTGAAGTTTACATTCCTTAGACTCCAAAAATATGTTGATGCTATTCTAGTCTTACTCTAGGGACTTTGATATTGAAGGAATCCTGCATTTTCCTATCTCCTTATCTCTTAGAGCCACAATTATTTTTAATACATAGATGATTTTCAAAATATTTAACAACTCGTACAGGATAGATACCAACCACTCAGAAAGGATGCCTGCTATAAACAAGCAGTATGTATGGCCATACCAGTGCCTACTGGCTGAACATCACCCTGCTTTCAAATATTAAAGTGATATCCCTTTGAATTATGGCTATTGTTCCTGCTTGTCTAATTTCTATTCACAAGGCTGTTTCAGGGACAGCCTCAGCTTCCTTTCCTATGGTGCAGACAGGATCAGGCATGCTTCTTTGAACTCTATGGGCATTAAAATCTTTGAGAGCCAAAGCTTCATATTTTATCACTTTAGGATAAATGTAATCATTGTACCTGTTTACCTACCTGGTTTAGAAAAATCTTAAGGCAACCCATCATTGAGAAAAGCTTTCTTGCTGACTTTCCCTGTCCCTCTCTGGCTGCTTCCTTGAACTTGCCTCCTTTCTTCTCTGTTCCCTGAGAACATCCCTCCTCTCTTCCCCCATCTTGCCCCTCCCATCTTTTCCTGCCACCTCTGTATAGGGAAGGTGGTGACTGCATCCCATTCCCTTGGCCTCAGTGTGGCTACAAGGAATATAGCAGGGAAGTCTCCATCATGCAGCAGAACTGGGTGACAGTGTCGCTCCAAACATGTTTCTGCACACACTGATGTCTCATGAGGCCCTGTCTGGTGGGCTTCCTGTCTTTGTTACCCTCCCAGGGTCCTGGCACAGCCTACTTTGGGAGGCTATGCCAGTCTTCTGGGGCGATTAAATTTTTCTCAAACAACAGCTAGCTCTGTTTGTGCTACATCTCAGTGGTAGGAACCACTCCATACTCTTCCTCTCTCATCTTTCCCAAATCCCACCCAGCACTCAATTCCAGTCCTGGCTGCTTCCCAGCTCAGGTCTGTAGCTGGTGACTATGGGTGGCAGAGTCAAGTTGGGACAGTGTTTAGGATAGGAAACTGAGAGTGATAGTGAAACAGAGGCCTCGTGTGTATGTGTGTGTGTCTGTGTGTGCATGTGTGCTTACTGACAAATAAGTATATCCAGGAGATTTCGTTGCTGCTACCGAACAGCCTCGTGCATCTAATATTGTGGGAATATCAAGAGAATATGGTCCTTCCCCCATCTAGGACTTCCCCTCTCTAGCCTGATAGAATTGCCTGAGGGCAAATACAGGTAGCTTAGTTTTAGAAAAAGGTGTTTAAGCTCAAGGTTAAGGAGAAACTGATTTAGGGGTAGAAATCAAGGCAGGTAGTTAGGTAATTCCCATGCCCAGGCTTGCTTGGGCCAAAGAAGTAGTCCACCTCTTCTCTGACAAGGGGAAATTTCAGCAGTAGTTTGAGTGTTGACAGTCAGTGTTCTGATAGGCTGGTATTGTAGAGTAGGAACGGATGGAGGCCAGGGATTAAGAAAGTGATGGTGAGTGGAATCTTGATTCTAAGCAGAAAAAGTGGCATCTTAGTGGCATCACTAAGTGAGTGGGTTACTTCCTAATCTATGACTTAGGGAAGGGTTTGTCTAGGGAGAAGGTAAAGGTCAGCAGAAATGTGTTGTGAAGTTGCCCAAAATGTTGCTTACATGAAATGCAGGCTAATTCTTTGTAGCTGTTTATGATTTCAAACTTCTGATGATGGGACTGCCAGGAGGGCTGGTCTTTACTGCACTCAGCTCCTGTCCCCTCTCCTTGTTTGTATATTAAATTTGCCTTTGGGGTAGAGAGCTAGAGAACCATTCATTTCCAAAACAAGTTATAAATAGTTGCTCTTTCTATTTGTCTGAGATGTGACTGGCTTTTAAATTAGCCATAGATATTTGATCAAAATCTGGTATGCTAAGTCTTAGCATCTTAGGTTGACATCTATGACCTTTAAGAGGTCTCTGCTTTGGGGAGTCTGGTTTTTGGTCATCCAAAAAAGACAATTCCTTGTTTGACTTTATTTTCTACCTATTCTGTATTCTAGACTTTCCTCCTAATTAAGGAATCAGTAATTCTCCCTGAAACTTCTCTGTTGATTTCAGCATCCATGTTCAGCATGTCCAGGTTTTCCTGATGCATAGGAGGAGGCTTGAGCCAAGGTCTCATAGCTTTCATTCTAACTATCATCAGACATACTCTCCAGTATGTTCTTTCTACTAATTTGTCAGCTTCTCTAGATGTCTGCTTTTGCAGGAGAGTTAGCACATCCTCCGAGGATTTTTAAGCACTGCTTGCTAGTTCATTACTGCATTTTCCTTAGACTTCTCAGGTTCCCAAGCCACATCCTGGCAGGACAGTCAGCATGCATCGGATATTCTCAACCTTCTTGACTTTCTTTTGGTTGTAGCTGCCAGACCTCCTAAGGTAGAAATTGTTCCTGCCGGTCCTAACTGACCAAATGAGACATCATTTCAGTTCTGCCCCCTTTTGCTGACTTAGCTTTTTCAAGCTCTCTTTCCCCTCCTTTCTGCGTTTTCCTCAGTCTTTCAAGTTCTTCTTGAAGGGAAAGAGTTTTTGGTCAGAGGTCCTAACAATCCCCTCCAATGGGGGCTGGGAAGAAAGGGAAGGAGGTTGGATAGTTCTGGGGCTGCTCCAAAAGGGAACTTGATGGTTATTTGCCTTATTTAGGATGAGGGACTATGAATTCTCAAGCCCTCAGGATCATCCATATTTCAGTGTAAATAGAGAAAGACATTTCAAAACCAAATAGAAGGGATTTTTCTACCAAACCTACTTTTTGTCATTCTTGGTGCCCCTGGGATCTTATATTAATTATAGAGAATGGGGTAGTTGACTCAATTCACGTTTCTTTAGTTTCTTTATCAGAAGGAGGCTGACTTTCACAACCAAAGAGGTGTGAAGTAACTCTATCAAAAGAGGAAAGGAGTGTCACATGAATCTTTTCAATAGGAAACATCAGAAAGTGGGAAAATTCAACTACAGGCATAATTCTTTTAGGAGATTCTGTGCTCAAAGGGAATGGAATAGTTTCTGATCCTTCTGAAAAGAAAAAGAATAGCATTTTCTGAAACCTAACTCACTTTCAGCATTGGAGAATACAGAATTTTTCTTCTAGATGATGGCATTAATATTTCTGAGTTGGAGAGAGAGAGCCCACCCACGGCCCTTTCCCAAGCCCAGCAGGAATCAACAGAGCTTGGGTTCTCTTAGCAGGTTTGCAGTCGATTTCAACTTGCAGGTTTTTCACACGTGCAATAAACTGAATGTGCAATTACTCCTTTTGCAAAAGAGGCCAAAATCATCCTCCCCATACCTCTCTTCCATATTCACTCCTCCAAGATGATAAGCCTCCCTCTCGTTTATCTGTGTCTGTCTGTCTGATTGGTTAGATACAGCTGCCCTCCCAAGCACATGGTGTCAGGTGGAGAGCAGAGCGACCTTCCCACGGAAGGGGACAGCTTGAGGTGCTGGTACATTTCCCTCGTTTTCTATGTTCTTCTTTCTAGTAGGTCTCCTGTAGAAATAGAGATATTTTTGTTTTAGAGATTCCAAAGTATATATTTTTAGTGTAAGAAATGTACCCTCTCCACACTCCATGGTGTAAATAGAACCGAGAACACGTGTCATTGTGATAATCCCCTAGTGATCTGTGGTAGCAACAGGACCCCTGTCCCTCACCGCCTAGTCTCACGGTTTGTGTCTGTGAACCAAGGGGGTGATGGTGACACCTCTGCCTGCCCAGACCTTCCTGTGCTCAATGGGTGAAAAATAAAGTCTGTGTAACTGTTAATACCTATGGTGTTCTTTGAGCTTGAAACACGGGATCTAAGCCAAGGTGACCACGTTCCAGACTTGGGAAGAAGAATTATGAAGATGCGGGGGTGGGCCTGAAGAGGGGCCTATACGCTTTCCTGGGTGCAGATCCTGAGGATCCCTGGCTGGAGCCACAGAAGAGCCTAGAATGCCCTTTCTTTGCGGACCACTTAGACTTATTTTTGGGTCAGGGGACAGGATAGCATGAAAAGAAAGCTCACTTTGGAGCTACAACTAGGTTGATGTGGACAATTGCTAATATTTAAGGACTTGCCAACTGTCTAGAAATCCAGATTTTAAAGATCTACAGTCATTCCAGATATTTTTGGTTTTAGGGGGCATGGGG